CTGGTCAATGCATCTTGGCTTGCATGGGCATTGCCAAGTATTTGTATGCAGGCTGGCCTCCACGTCGCTACCCAAGCCCCACAGGCCCTCTTCTATTGCCTGAATGCCACAACAGAATTGGGGATGAGTTGAGCCAATTTTACATTCTAGACATCAGCCATATGTCTCAATGGAAAGTCCAAAACACTCCAGCCCCAATACCAGCAGTCCCTGATAAACAGCCAGCTGGCATTGATTATAATCGCCATTGAAACGTATTGCATAGGCATCGGCCATATGCTCCAATGGCGATTCCACTAAGCCGGCCAGGCACTGTGGACCCCTCCTTTCTTGCCTGAAACGCCATGTTGGGTTCTGCGCATCCTGAACCCCGTGATTTTATGATCCTACAGTAAGGAATCAATCCATAAGGGCGCTGCGGTGGACGAGATGTTAACTACCTTGCCTGGTACACAGGAGGTCATTGGTTCGATCCAGACCCAGATGCCTGCATACAGTGAGGGAAAAAAGTATTTGATCCCCTGCTGATTTTGTACGTTTGTCCACTGACAAAGAAAGGATCAGTCTATAATTTTAATGGTAGGTTTATTTGAACAGTGAGAGACAGAATAACAACAAAAACATCCAGAAAAACGCATGCCAAAAATGTTATAAATTGATTTGCATTTTAATGAGGGAAATAAGTATTTGACCCCATCTCAATCAGAAAGATTTCTGGCTCCCAGGTGTCTTTTATACAGGTAACGAGCTGAGATTAGGAGCACACTCTTAAAGGGAGGGCTCCTAATCTCAGCTTGTTACCTGTATAAAAGACACCTGTCCACAGAAGCAATCAATCAATCAGATTCCCAACTCTCCACCATGGCCAAGACCAAAGAGCTCTCCAAGGATGTCAGGGACAAGATTGTAGACCTACACAAGGCTGGAATGGGCTACAAGACCATTGCCAAGCAGCTTGGCGAGAAGGTGACAACAGTTGGTGTGATTATTCGCAAATGGAAGAAACACAAAAGAAATCAATCTCCCTCGGCCTGGGGTTTCATGCAAGATCTCACCTCGTAGAGTTGCAATGATCATGAGAACGGTGAGGAATCAGCCCAAAACTACACGGGAGGATCTTGTCAATGATCTCAAGGCAGCTGGGACCATAGTCACCAAGAAAACAATTGGTAACACTACGCCGTGAAGGGCTGAAATCCTGCAGCGCCCGCAAGATCCCCCTGCTCAAGAAAGCACATATACATGCCCGTCTGAAGTTTGCCAATGAACATCCGAATGATTCAGAGGACAACTGGGTGAAAGTGTTGTGGTCAGGTGAGACCAAAATGGAGCTCTTTGGCATCAACTCAACTCGCCGTGTTTGGAAGAGGAAGAATGCTGCCTATGACCCCAAGAACACCATCCCCACCGTCAAACATGGAGGTGGAAACATTATGCTTTGGGGGTGTTTTTCTGCTAAGGGGACAGGACAACTTCACCGCATCAAAGGGACGATGGACGGGGCCATGTACCGTCAAATCTTGGGTGAGAACCTCCTTCCCTCAGCCAGGGCATTGAAAATGGGTCGTGGATGGGTATTCCAGCATGACAATGACCCAAAACACACGGCCAATGCAAAGAAGGAGTGGCTCAAGAAGAAGCACATTAAGGTCCTGGAGCGGCCTAGCCAGTCTCCAGACCTTAATCCCATAGAAAATCTGTGGAGGGAGCTGAAGGTTCGAGTTGCCAAACGTCAGCCTCGAAACCTTAATGACTTGGAGAAGATCTGCAAAGAGGAGTGGGACGAAATCCCTCTTGAGATGTGTGCAAACCTGGTGGCCAACTACAAGAAACGTCTGACCTCTGTGATTGCCAACAAGGGTTTTGCCACCAAGTACTAAGTCATGTTTTGCAGAGGGGTCAAATACTTATTTCCCTCATTAAAATGCAAATCAACGTATAACATTTTTGACATGCGTTTTTCTGGATTTTTTATTGTTGTTATTCTGTCTCTCGCTGTTCAAATAAACCTACTATTAAAATTATAGACTGATCATTTCTTTGTCAGTGGGCAAACGTACAAAATCAGCAGGGGATCAAATACTTTTTTCCCTCACTGTATTTGGAGTTTGCATGTCTCTCCCTGTGGGCGCATGGATTTTTCTCCAGGTTCTCCGGTTTTTCCCTCCACATTTAGAATCAACATGCGTTCAGTATATTTGTTTACTGCACATTTCTACATAAGCCACTTCTTTGGGCGATCATTTGTGGCCAGGTCGCCTCTGAAAAAGTACTATTTAGCTCAGTGGGCCTTACCTGGAGGTTGCCCAGCTCTCTCCGATCTTACATTTACATGCAAATTTCTTCACTAGCCCGGCCCACCTTTATACTGTAACATCCTGCCTCAGCAGCTCTCTCGCTATTTTTTTAACCTGATGACGATTGCTTACGTTGCGATTGAAACGTCGTGATATTTTTATTATTATTTCTATCTATGTGGCTTTAACCAAAAGTATTCAGCATTTTTCTTGTTGAGGTTCCACCTGATGAAGATTGCTTGTGTTGCGATCGAAACGTCGTGATTTGTTTGATTTTATTTCTACTTACGTGACTTTACCAAAAGAACCAAAGAGTATGAATGACATTACAATTCTAGGTTAGGGTTCATAATAATTGCCCAGCTCTAATAACAATTAGTAATTAAGTTGTTTCTTTACACTATAGTATCTTTGGTCATGTATTGGAAAAATAAATGCAATATGTTTAGTACACCTGCTTGGAATGCAGGTTTAGTGGGTTCGATCCTGACCCTGACGCCTGTATATTTGGAGTTTGCGTGTTCTCCCCATGGTTACGTGGATTTTTCTCCGGGTCTTCTAGTTTGCATTTTGAGTGTTTGGCTGCTATAAATTTCCACATGATGAGCCATTTTGTTGAGCTATCATTTGTGGCCAGGTCGCTTCTGAAAAAGAGCTATGTAGCTCAGTGGGCCTTACCTGGTAAAATAAAAAATAGTTTAGTTTAGTATATTAAATGAGTTATTCTAATTTCATGGGGTCACTAATATTTGGAACCAATTGGACTTCTACGACGTCGTTTATACATTGGTAGCTTTCCATGTACAATTTACAATGTTACAAAAAAAAGCATTTATACCTGAAATGTGAGCAAAAGAAAACATCACAACCATGGAGAAATAATGCATAGTGTTCTTACAGATTAGCATCAGTATCATCATAAAAAGGCTTTTATGTAACCTCTATTCTGCTAACAAGTACGTTCTTGTGAAAATTTGCTTAGTAGTGAATATTTGTGCAATTTTTTTTCATTAATCCATGTCAAGTGACAACCCATCTTTTTGGAGTCTATTTTTAAATAAATCCTCGTGAGGCCTTTTTCGTGTTTTTAGCTGAGTGGGGTCATAAAGAACGACCTGCTTGTTGAGTGCCTCAACATTAAACAGCTAACTCATTATTTCTGTCATCTCAGTGGCATAAGCCGTAAGATTTATGTGCAGTTTAAAGTTACATTTTTTATATGTTGAGTTGCACAAATAAAAAAAATGTTTAACCATGTGTCTTAAATGGATTGTTCAAGAATGTTCTACTTTCATAGCACTTTGTAAAATTCTGTTAAAACCGAGGGTTTAAAAAAAAGAGCTTAATGGACTTCAAAATACAATTTTTTTTGCAAGTTCATATTGACAAAAAGGCTCGTGTAAAGCTACAGGACTCTTCATCCAGTAGCAAGATATTGAATGTTAAAAAGGACATACCCTTTCTAGTGTAAATACAGGTGTTTAAGATCTACAAACAGCATTTAGACACCTATTACAAGGCATGACGTCTGCATTGACCACACATACTTGTAAAAATGTAAACAAATATGCTTTGATAATGTATGCACTGACCTTGAAACTGATAGGCCTGCACCAAAGTAGGCCTCTTTTATGGCTTTGTCTCACTGGTGCTAGAGACCAAAGGCTGCCACAAAAATAAGGAAGCAGTACAATTGCAATGCAAATACCAGATCATTAAAATAGCTCTCAGTTTAAGCAGTTATAGCTATGAGATCCTTTCACTAGTTTCAGGATATTGAATGATGAAAAGGCTTTACTCTTTCTGGAATAAATAAAGATTGTTAAGATGTTCAAACAACAATAGAGACACCGATTACAAGGCTTCATGCCTGCATTCACCACACATATTTGTGGTAAAAAATGTAAAACAAATATACTTTGATAATGTATATACTGTCCTTGAGACTGATAGGCCTGCACCAGAGACAGTTGTAAATTCTATTTAAAATCATCTGACGAATGTTCTATGAACAAGGACCGTTGCCCAAATCTTCACCGATCACATATCTCTTTCCTTTTCAGGCAACTTTATTGACAAATGTGAGGTTTTTTAGTTAATCGTGCTTGTGCACCACTGCCAATGTAGCATCACCAAACAATGTCTTTAACTATATTCTTAGTTTTTTTCGGTAAAGTCACGTTGAAGAGAAACAACATTTCAGTTCTTAATTGATTGTTCACGCTTACATTGGCTTTCAGACAGCATACATTATAAAAAATTTCGTCTCCCCCCTGCTCTTTTCAAAATATAGATGGACTAGTCCTGGGTAAACTGTCAAATCGCTGCGCGTGACGCTAACGTTTTTTATAAATAAATAAATGCGCCGTTTAAAAATAAATGTATGCAAACCAACACACCTGAAGATGACCGTTTGAGTTATGGTCGAAACGTCGTGATAATTTTTATTGTTTTATATATATTATATTATTTTGTTGTTTCTCTTCAACGTGACTTTACCGAAAAAACTAAGAATATGAATTACTGCAGTCACGAAAGCTTTAAATCAAAATTTAATGTCTTTAACTGTTAAAATATGGCTGTTTAATGTGTTTTTAAAAAAAATCAAACTATTGTATTTATTTCATAATAAATGAACTGTTATTTTCCTTTCATGTTATTTGACCACACCACGCGTCAATGCATTTTCCTTTTCTTTTCCAGAATTTAAGTCCTTCCAAGGCGTATTTGAAGTGATGGAAGCCTTTCTGGCCTGAAGTCTTAGAAAGTAAAATTTATTTCATTTTGTTAAATTCAACCCAGAATCATCAACTAAAAAGCAACACTTTTGGCAATGTTAATGCAAGAAGAGTGACTAATTAGATCACCCAAATGCACAGTGATGGTTTACTACTAGACATGAATAAAAGCTCACTTTTGATCTGTTCTGTCTTTGGATAAGCAGGAGCCGCTGAACCGTAGCCGAAGCAACCGACGAGAACAACAACGACAACAACAACGCCACGAGCGTTATTGCTCTCCGCGTGGGCGCCCAACAAAACAAAAGCCATGAGCGACTCCAACCGCGAACGCTCGGCGCTGGTGAAAGGCGCCAAGGACATCGCGCGCGAGGTCAAGCGGCAGGCGGCCAAGAAGATCGGCCGCGGCTCAGACCGCCTCCAGGACGAGTACACCGGCCGCACGTACGCCCGCTTCCAGGACGAGCTGGACGACGACTACTATGCCCAGCAGGGCTCGTACGGGGACGCTTCGGCAGGTCCCGGGCACGCCGCCGGCGAAGCGGGCGGAGGGGCCGCCGCCGACGATGAGGAGGGCGACAGCGATGCCACGGAGGGCCACGACGAAGAGGACGAGGTCTACGAGGGCGAGTACCAGGGCATCCCGCATGGCAAGGCCGGGAACAGCCACGTGCCGGCGGGTGACGGCGGGGACCCTTACGGCGATGGTGGTACGGGAACGATTGCCGGACTGCAGACGGAGCGGGAGGAGATGGCGCAGCAGTACGAGGCAGTCATGCAGGAGTGCGGGCACGGCCGGTTCCAGTGGACCTTCTACATGGTGCTGGGGCTGGCTCTTATGGCGGACGGCGTCGAGGTGTTCGTGGTGGCCTTTGTCCTGCCCAGTGCCGAGCGCGATTTGTGCATTACTGACGCTGGAAAAGGATGGCTTGGTATGGCCTACGTAACTAACTAACACACACGCACACACACACACTTTGCGGTGGGAGTGGTCTTAGTAGTTGCATTTAGCTAAACATGAGATTTTGGAAATGCATAGGTCCACTAGTACATATTAGTGCATTTATATTCTGTATGAATTTACTTGCATTGTTAACCTGTAAGCATTTCTGTGTTAGCTATTTATAATAAGTTACATTTATTAAATGAATCAAAGCTAACAACTGGAATATACACATATTGGTTGACAAAATAGCTCATTCCAATTTGTTCTCAATTATATTGATTACATGAATAAAACTACATAAGAATACGTACATTGCATATATAATTTGTATCACACAAGCCTTACACATAACCATAACGTTACTTCGGATAAATCCAAGTGATCTCATTGGCCCACACCAAGTTGTCACTTACATATAGTCGATGGCAGGTACGTCTCTTTCTTTAAAGAAAATATCAATCCCAGCAGCCTCCAGTTTCACCCTAAAAAAAATGTAATGCATTTTTTTTATTAGAGGGGACAGAAAATATGCTGCTGACACAATCACACAATTGCTGTGCCGTTTTGGAACTTTAATATGCCCTATCAAACAGCACACTCATTGACTTTATCACTATTCTTTTAAACGAATGACTCATTGTGCCTGTTATACACTGCAGGGGTAGGGATTAGCAGGACACAATACAACATGTGCTTGTTAACCCACTACATGTTTGTCGGAGGCCAACAAAAGTGGATTTTCTCAAATGTGACGTTGCCATTGCTTCAAGGCCAGATTGACCTCTCCTACACAGTGCTCGTCTTTTAAATAAAATGTATTAAATCCCAATTTTATGAACAACCAAATAGAACTTGACATAGGGTAGGGAACGTGATGGTCTAGGTCACTAAAATAGATATTTAATTGTAATGGAATGGCGTAGGTTATGGTTTTAACTTGACTACATTAGTTTTAGTTGCTCCCAAATGTAAATAATGGAAGTGTTTGGTTGCAGATATGTCATACATATCCAGTGAGCCCAGATCAGATATTTCACTTACCGGTACCACTAAAGTTTTGTTATCTTAAGTGCTACAATTTCTGCTCTGGCTCATGGACTCCAGAGGTTCTGTAATAAGATCACCAACTGCTGCAATGTTGGTCAATAATTTAAATCGCGTGCTTCTCAAAACGATCAGCATTTGGAATGTATACCATTATAACATATTAAAAAATCTTAACAATTCTCAGACATCTGCAAGTTGCAGGGTGGGTCTCTGTCATCGCTGAATCTCGGAACGTGTAAGCGGTTAGTGTTAATTTTATTTAGAGAGGCATAGCGTCATTGTTTTTAAAGACATTGTACTCACTGCAGACTGAGCTACACGCCCTCCCACTTAGCCTTGTGGGAGCCTCGGTGCGTCTTCAGACTTGAAACGTACGTGTACATAATCGGAACGGAATTGGAAAAAAAACTGATGACGTACAGGTACACTTATGTCATCGGAATGGGAAATGGTTACTTTAAAGTACAGTAAAACCTTGGATTTCGAGTAACTTGGTCTGCGAGTGTTTTGCAAGACGAGCAAATTTTTAAAATAAATATTAATTTGATAAACGAGCGAGGTCTTGCAATACGAGTAGTACGTCTACGTTTTGTCTGCCGAGCGTCACGTGATCACAACTGATATACGAGTGCTTTGATATACGAGTGCTTTGAATTACAAACACGTTTCCGGAACGAATTATGCTCGCAATCCAAGGTTTTACTGTATTGATGTCCCATGTTCTCAAAAGGGGCAGTCCTCATAGAGATTGAGTGCACTGCTGCCTATGTGCAAGGGGTGAAGGGGGGAGGCAGTGCGAAACTGACGCCCCAGCAGACATCAACAGCCAGACTCCGCATGTGGGAATGATCGATGCTCCATCTCATTTTAGCCGAGCGGGCAGGCAGTCATGATAGTGTTGTTATTTGCAAGATGGTGATCATTTGCTCAATATTCATGAAAGCAAATGCCAGGTAGAGGATGACAAAGTGGTGAGTGAGAGAAATCTCCAATGGCAGCATGCATGCACCTTTAACGAGACACGGTGCAAGTGTAATACGAACCATAAGACGTCCACTTTTGCGCAGGGTTACGTATTGATTTCCTTCCGTTGAGCAAATGGCTATGGCTGAAAAAAAAGGCAAGGACTGGATTATGCAGAATCGCCAGACGCCTTGATTTAACGAAGGCGCCTTGAAGTTGAACGTAAAGATCCTGGAAATTGGGTCACCTGAGGTTGGTGACCTTTGAACTTGGCATTGGCATATCAAGGTTACGTGTTTTTTTAATGCATGTCAAGAATGATTGTACCTTTTTTTTTCTGAGAGGGCACCGTCTGCAGGCACAAAGTATATCGGTCGTTAATGGGGAGGCCAGGATACGTATTTATGGCCCTCATTTCATGGTTCTTTTTTGCCAAAAGGGGGCTACAGCAGTGAAAGCGTGGGTGCTGGCAATGGCGGCAAGGGCAATCCAAACAAAAAGCTGAGGGCTCCGTGCAGCTCAATGGGCCACGGAGTCCTGAGGGGGAAACAAAACGCGGGCGCGTCAAATCTCAGCTCAAATTCAAATAATAAAACACCCGCAAATTAAAACGTACACCGCCAATTAATCTCTGTTATCTAAATCTTGTCCGCATCTCTCATTTCCCCCCTCATCTAAACACGTAATATTTATGCCTGTATTTCTCTTATCTCTCACTGCACCCGTGGTGCGTGTCTTGTACACGTTCTGTCGTCCCACTCGGATCTCATTCATTGCGAGGGAAGCCCTCCCCACCATCCCGCACTCCCTTTGGTGCAGGTCCTAGGGCAAGAGCAGTCCACGTTACATACACGTAGCAATGTGTAGACGAGGAGTCTCCATGTTGTATTCTTTTAACGGTCTCTTCGGAATTTACAAGTCTAAGTACATTTTTTTACAATGTTTGCACTTACGTATTCTGCGAATCACTGCACAGCCCAGTGTGTTAATCGCTGCACCGACCTAACACACATACGTTGTACTGTTATAATTAGATCACTGGGGTTCTATCTCCCTCTCTACATTGATTAATGGTGGGGAACGAACCTGCTGTACACCTCATAGTCTGCCAAGTTGGGGGGAGGGGGCCAAGTGGTACATTGCCCGGACCCTACCCCCGCAGTGCTGCCCAAGCCACTGCAGAAAGCCACATTTCCACAATGGTGTTTGGTAACATCACTCGCTCAGTCGGGCCCAACTGGGGATCTCTTTTTGTGCGTTTGTGTCTTACATCCGCGTTTGTGTATGTGCGTGCGTGCGTGTGTTGCCGTTTGCGAGACATCCAACAGTGAGCCATCACCTTAGAGGGTTACCACCTGGTCTGGTTTTCAGGATCATCCACCTTATTATGGTAACAGTCTCGTTTTTTTTAATGCACCACTTGGCAAGGCACCACTCGAGACAATGCCACATGCAGTTCTCTCTCCCGGTAATTGTGAAATATTCTTGTTCCCATGATATGTCCTGGCCTTGTGTGCCACAGAGGTGGCAACTCCATCCGCTTACAACATTCACACAACCAGAAGCCTTACATTGTATCTGTACCAATTAGATATTTCACTCATACTGTCATGAAAGGCTTCGTGAATTACCTGGTCAAACATATTTTAAGAACCTCACGTAAATATGCAGTATCCAGTGGGTTTGTTCTATCGCAGAACATTCTGCTCATTCTGCTTATTATCTCTAGTTTGTGTTTTCCTATGGCTGTGCTTTTTCTTATTCATATTACACCTACATGTTCATTTTACGCTTTCTTGACTGCCTGCCCTTTGCAAAAGCATAACCAAGATGGGGTGAGCTGAATTTGTTTTTAATTTTAACGATCATTGGGCACAGCTCGTAACTACACACACGCGGAATATGACTGTTGATTCACATCACAAACATGGCAATCTGAACCAAGGTTTAGGTCTTCATACGTTACTGCTCAAGGTAAGGTTTGATCCTGCGTGGTGGAACTGTGAGATCAAATCCCAGTCATCGTTTGAAGCAACCTATTGATTCATTCAGGCAATTAAAACATGTACCACTTTTTATATTCTTTGGGTCTTTCGGTAAAGTCACGTAGGTAGGTTCAAAGAAAATAACCAAAAATAACAAATTATTATTTTCTTTGAACCTTTCTACGTGACTTTACCGAAAAACCCAAAGGATATGAATTCCTGCAATCACGAAAGCTTTAAGTCAAGATGTACCACTTTGTGGATATTCCATAGAGAGACTTGTCCCTAGCCATATGAATGTGGAAGTTACACCACGAGCTTAGAACCGCCCTTGGGAATAGACAAGGTTTAGAACTGATTGCATGTTTAAATGTTTTGTAAAAGTAGTCCATTTATTTACAATAATTTAATTATACAAAATAATTGCTGAGGTAACACCACAAATCTCAGACACGTGATTCAGACTTCTCACTTTAACCTGTAAGTGAGCACATTACATCGATCTTAATGTGCTTACAATGGCCTCCTTTTTACCTGTACGTACAGGAATTACAAATATCAGCTACGTGGCACCACCTGTATTCAATATTGGTTTTCCAGTTTCAGGTGACATGTGCAGGTGGAATTATTCAGTGACTGGAGTGCAATCGTGGTATCTTAATCAGTGCTTTTTTGTTGGACACGGCACATGGAGTCCATTCAGTTTCCCAGGAGAAGTGGTCCGATGGGAGTCCGACATTGGTGTGTTATTGTGCGTTGCCTTTGCATCATCAATGAATCCACCTGAGCCTGGAACACCGAAGGCGGAGTTTGTAGCTTTTACTAAATATAGCTGCAAGCTACTAATGATTACAGTAACTTGTAAATCCTTTATAGATTTTGCTTATCAATGGAGCATCGAGAAAATGCCTCCATATTGTCCCTTCTGTTGCTACGACCACAGCAAACTCCGCTGCCTATCTTAATCTTGCATCAATCACTTGGTGAAAATTGATGCTGCTGTCCCCAATGGACCCATCTCAGATGTGTCCTCTCTCTTCATTTTACTTTCTCCCACCGGGTAAACCAGATTAAAGAGCTATCTTGTGTTGGGTACAATTGTCTGCGTGTTTTTATTTTATTTATTCCCATGACCCTTGACAGCATCGAATAATAACCCCCGTGCCGTTGTTGCGTTGTGTTGGATATCGTACACCCACGTGCTACCTCTCACAGGCACCCTGGTGTACCTGGGCATGATGATGGGCTCACTAGTGTGGGGTGGCCTCGCGGATCAGCAGGGCCGACGCCAGTGCCTGCTCATGGCGCTCACAGTCAACAGCCTCTTCTCCTTCCTCTCCTCCTTCGTCTGGGACTACGGCACCTTCATCTTCTGCCGCTTTCTGGATGGATTTGGGTTTGCTGTGCACTTGGCTATCGGGCAAACGCACGCACACACACACTCACACACTCCGGGCCTCTTGACCATTGCACCCTGTTGACGGTGGTGCGCCAAGGACAAATGAGTTTAGGGCATACAGTCTGGCACACTTATCATTAACACTGCCTTATGACAGAAAAATATATGGTAGACCGACGTTTTGGGCGGTGGCCCTTCTTCGGAGAAGCGAGGGGGCAGAGAAACTGAAGGAGGTTGCACTTTATCGTTGATTTAAAAAATACATAACACGTGACACTCCCCCCCCCCCCATGTCATGGCATGCATGCAAAGGTTCCGCGAGCTTCCCAGGGTCCATGGGATTCAGATACCGTGCCCTGCAAGTCAACATACATGGTCCCAGGGAATAATTATTATCCACAAATTTATTTATCCATGACCTCATCCCACCACTTCCTTGGAGACAAGATCAGATTCATTTTACAGTCGCAATTTGCAGAACATGTAATTGACTATATATACGTCTCACCCCTTTACATTGTTTCGCAAATACGTCGTCGCTTTATTAATACCACGACTTGATTTGTGTCGCCACAACCCACACTTACGCCGTTGACAGCATTATCGGTCATTTCTCGTATCCCGTCGCCTCGTTACTTCGCCTCCACCTACCCCTGTAAATCGCTTTGATTGACGTCGTTTCGATATTCGTCGTCGCACCTCTCAGGAACGCATTCCTGACATAAACCGGGGCATTGCTGTATATACATTTGAACTGCAAAAATGTAATCAAACAAATGGGCGTGGACATTATTTTTAAAGCCATGAGTCACTGCTGGGAATTACATAACTTCTGAGACAGTTTATTTTCATAATTTTAGCTTTTGGCGTCATGTCGTGAGATAAATAAATTTATATTTCTAACTCTAGTAGCTGGTGGTGTGCATCGATTTTATGTTCCAGAAAGTTCCAAGAAAATGACACCTCAGAAATAACTTTGAAGTGTCTGTAATAAATCTCTATATTTATTGGTGAAAATGCTGAAAAGACCCATTGGCTCCAGTTGAGAACTCTGATTAATAATGGGTGGCCACCACAACATTTCAGTGGTGCCAGCGAAAGTGTCCTGACTCCTGAGCCTCTAATCAATCTCCAATAAAAGTTAAATCTAATAACATATGAATGCCACATTTTACGGTGGTGCAGTGGACCACCGCTATGGACCTGGAAAAGTGAGTTTGATTCACACCACAGCTAATATCAGTGGTGAGAGATTTATTAAACTCCCCTAGGTCAACTCAGCCTTAAATTAGTACCTTGTGTGATGTGGAAAAAAAATCTGCATTGTTGAGACAAAGGCGGACGTGCATGGTGCTAGTCACACTATTCCTTCACTAGCATCTGTTAATGGCTGCGTGGAGGATTTTAGTGGGTGTTATGTTTATCTGTGTAGATACATACAATGTATGTGATGGGAGCATTAGTGAAGAAGTGGTTAGTGCACTGTGTTACGAACGCGGCAGCCCGAGTTCAATTCCCACTCGTGCCCAACATCGGAGACGAATATGTTAACCAGTCCAGGGATTCCCCTTTACCAACCTGCATTGTCCAGCTTGTTGAAGTATGGTGAAAACATTCTCCTTGACCGAAACCATGGGAAGGCCTTCATCCCTGCAGTGGATTTACAAAGGGGCTGTAGATTATTATTTTTATTGTTAGTGTGGGTTTTTAAATTTTAAATAATAGTCACTATACCTCAAATAATAAAAAAAACCGTATAGGTAGTGTTAATGACGAGGGGAGTAATGGTATTCTGGGCTGTTTTAATGCAAAACTGCCAACGTCGTTATAAATTAATATAATACGCAATTTGATGCAGATTAAATATTCAATGGCTACTACGTAATGATCATAGTGAGTGACTGCACTATATGCATCACAATCAATGTTATTGATGCCACAACACCTTTCCATTATTTTCTTCATTATTCCAGATCTTGTAACTGTTGCACAGCTGACACCCAACTTTTAATGTCTGCCCTCACATTATCAACGAAGGCTTTAGACATTGCCCTTGATTACAGATCTCTGGATGTTCACTCTATTGACTGTATCAGTGAAATGCCATCTCCTGTCTTGTATACATACCCTACTCATCATGACATAATTTCTATGATTACATCTGCAGTGCTTTCCTGATACATTCGCTGTTTAACTTGCAAGTGGCTTACCATAGATGGCGTTGCAATTCCTAGCGTGTACCACATTTTACTGCAAGTTGCCCACAGACCAACATTACACCCGTCTCACGCACCAATCTTTAAACATTAAAGTTGACCTCGGATTGAGAAACGAACCAACGAAGGAAAGTTGACCTCTGTATTTTTTTCAAAGGCCATAATCTCCATAAATCATAAAATGGTCATCCTAGTCGTGAATAACTGGACATTGGTCTTGGGACACCTAGCGCATTGCAACTGCTACGTGCACAGACGCCTCCTAGAGGGCAGTAACAGCCACAACAGGGCATTAAGAACCTGGGGCTACCATTTAGTAAAATTTCTTGCCCAGTGTGCTGGGAAATAACAATAACTTAGCAATTTACGGAAAGGCCATGGAATAACCTGTGGTGGTTCTTTCTCCCCCTCAATGAATGACATTCGTTAGAATAAATAAATACATCACCCAATCTAACGTCTCTAACGCTAAAATTTTAGCGTTAATTATAGTACAGAACTGTGCTATCAAAGACAAATGAGCCACCAGTGGGACAATATCATCCATAGACGCATGGCGAGGAGTAGTTACTGCTCAGCGTTCTTTCAGCCGCGAGCCATCACACGATGAAATGAGCCATATGTGATAAAAAAAATCAACACAGTCAATTCTATTGGGCGTGTGTAACCATTTCCAATGGCGGCATCACCAAATGTATAAATAATTTGTTCTATAATGATAACACTGTTTATTCAGTCTGTGGACTAATTCTCTGTAGTACTCAGAGGAAAGCCACACAGAGAACGAGTTCACACTCACAAATTTGCACGTTTGACAAAACCTGTTCGCCGTACTGCCACCTTCTGGTCAGATCGCGGACCATCGGGTGAAACGTGAAATGGCACTTGATGAAATTTGTGCGTAATCCACCAGCCCCGCTTTCAAATATAGTCCGCCAGCCCTGAATAAAAGGTATTCATCAATATGCTCAGAACACTCTTATATTTGTATATGTTTGGAGCGGTTATAGTGCACTGCACTACTTATTATCACCACGCTTGTTTACCCAAGAAAGCTTCTTGGAATCTTATGACTCTTTCAGGAGGATCCTGCCAAGTTTTTTTTTTTTGCAGCACACAGGGGGCGATGATTGCTCTGTAGATTCCAATCCAGTAATTTGCGGGCAATTTTTTCAAATTTGTACAATTTGGACCACGAACTTGGCCATCTGAATTCGAATCGTGGCCACGGCCACTATGAACAAGTATTGTGTGAAGAGGTCAACATGACCAATGCCATAGATCCTCGCACACATTGCCATTGCTTCCTGCCTCCTGCTAGATCCCTCACTAGCTATAGATTTACATTGAATGACAAGCAATTTAAATCCCTACCCGTATGGCAATTGCAACGCAGTGTTTATGTGGAGTCAACAGCGCAATGGTGGCTGGTTTAAATTGGAGCTATAGGCTCTGTGATGTAACTTTCAAGTGTAGGACATTTTTTGTCTGATCTTGACCCAATATTGTGACCGATTCACAAGTCTCTCATCCGAATATCCTATCAAAAACAAGGTGCAGCGTAACTTTGGTGAACTCCGTTACATTCAGATTAAGTCTTCCTTTTATGCACACATTTCTAAACTTTTGCAATAAGACCACAGATGTCTGTGCGGGTTCACAGGTTAGCTTCACCGTATTCATGATCTCTAAAGTAAGCAATAGCAGATAACTGCATGTTCTGCATGGACAACAAGATTCAGATTCACTTTGGGTATTTAACAAACAAAAAAGCCCCAACACATTTATTGTTTACCCTTCCTTAAAAAGAAAAAAATATTTCATAGTCAACATATGGGACAATGGCCCTTCGGCACAGACCTCTGGCCTATGTAGTGTAAATAATGGCCGGGGTCCAATATGTTGCCGATTATATACTTTTATTGTGTTTTTTCTTTTTAAGGCAGTCTTATTGTTGAATGTGTTGTTGTCTTGTTAATTTGTGCTTGTGCACCACTGCCAATGCAGTCTCACCATGTAATATTTTACTATATATTATATTTTACTATATATTTTACTATGTAAAAACATTCCCGCATATGTCATGGGAGATTCATATGCGCAATTTGTAAACTTACCCTTGACTAAATAGTACAAATAACTACGTATCAACTTTACAAACGATGGTTTGAAAGAGGCCGCAAGCTCAATAGAGGCGCCACGGTGGCGAGATGTTAACTACCTCGCCTGATATACAGGAGCTCGTGGGTTCAATCCTTACCCTGACACCTGTATATTTGGAGTTTGCACGCTCTCCCCGTGGTCGTGTGAATTGTTCTCAGGGTCCTCCGGTTTTTCCCTCTACATTTACAAACATGCGTTTAGAGTATTTGGCTGCTATAAGCTTCTACATGATAAGTCACTTCGTTGAGCTATAATTTGTGGCCAGGTTGCTTCTGAAAAATAGCTATGTAGCTCAGCGGGCCTTACCTGGTAAAATAACAATAAAAATTGTTGAATATCGATTTAAAGCTTTCGTGACTGCAAGGATTCATCTTCTTTGGTTCTTTCGGTAAAGTCACGTAGAATGAGAATAAAATAATAAATTGATAAAATAAAATAACACAATAATATTCTCGCGACGTTTCGGCCACAACACAAGCGGCCTTCATCACGTGAAGGGGACGAGACTGTCTGGAGGACAGCGCTGGAGCGAAAAAGCCACGCTCAGATCACGACCTTTAACCTGTGTGAGAAGAAACAAAGCGCCTTAGGTCGTGATCTCAGCGTGGCTTTCTCACTCCAGCGCTGTCCTACCAGACAGTCTCGCCCCCCTTCACCTGATGAAGGCCGCTTGTGTTGTGGCCGAAACGTCGTGAGAATACTATTGTGTTATTTTATTTGATCAATGTATTATTTTATTCTCATTCTACGTGGTGACTTTACCGAAAGAACCAAGGAAGAGGAATCGTTGAATAGTTTTATGCTCTAACGTGCTTGATTGCATGTGAATGAATGGAATTGCTGATGCACGTTGCTATTTTGCACGGTGTGACTGGATGCAGGATTGGTGGGATTATCCCGATTGTATACTCATATTATGCCGAGTTCCTGGCCCACGACAAGCGAGGGGAACATCTGAGCTGGCTGTGCATGACGTGGATGTTTGGGGGAATCTATGCCTCTGCTATGGCCTGGGCCATCATCCCTCACTACGGTGAGGCCTTCCACATGACCACCATTATGCCACAAGCAAGCACGTGCCTCCTCGGCTCATGCAACCGTTTTCTGTCATATGCATTCAGGGTTTTGCATCGCGTTGCTCCCTTTGTGCCTGTACATTATATTTTGAACTCACCAGGAGTGTAACGATTTACTCTGTTGACAATTCAGGGAATTGTTCCTGGCTTGAGTCAAGAATTATATATATATATTTTTTGTGGTGAATATCGTGGCCTCTGGTGTTTGCAGGAGTCAATTAACCTAATAAAAACATGACTTTTTACATGCACGATTCAATACATTTTGAGCTTAAAAAGTCAATATTAATAAATGAAATGACGGACTGTTACACCCCTAGCAATTACTATTCGAGTTGTGTTGCATGGATTTAATACTGACTCGTCAAAATCAGTAGATTTCAAAGGTATTAATGTGGCATCATTATGCATGGGTGTGACACAGAAAACATTTTTAAATTTCTCCATTTCAAGCACATGTAAAAACATGTTTTTTCATATAGACATACTCTGCACCTATGACTTAGGTGTGATTGCTGAGGCAGCCTTTTATTTTATTGAAGAAAGTGATTAACAAAATAAAATTGACAGCTTTTCAAGAGGACCACGTCATTCAATAACAAGTAAACAGCTCATAACATCAAATGGAGTGTGTGTGTTAAATAGGTACTAGTGACCTTTGTAATTACAGCAGAAATCCTCACCAAATGCACATATAAAAAATGGAGAAAAAAACTTGGCCTTGGGATTGCTATAACAACAGTAAAGGAAATTTGACTGCTTTTGGTTGACAATATATTTATTTACAGCAGGTGAAACTCAAGTTGTGATGAAACAAGCCCCGAGCCCTATTCGGTGTGGAGACGCCTTCATCCAGCAGTGGATTGACAAAGGGCTGTAAATTATAATTTTATCGTAAATTCACGTTGCAGTGAAAGGGATGCTGCAGGCAACATCATGTGACACTGGGTGGCCTCGCTTGAACGTGCTGACGACATGTGTTCACTCACTGCAATGGGAATTTTAGATTCCTCTCCAATAATAATTTACAAATATTTTTCACTTTATACTGGTTCATGGACAATGAATGATATATACGTATATATTTTTTTGAGGCTGTGGTGATCTACATTACAGGGTTAACTGGATGTGAAGGCCACTCGGTTTGTTTATCTGAAATATGATAACTTGTGTTGGCAGCTTGAGTATCATCAGAGCTGAATATGAGGGGAACTCAATTCATGCTAGAATGTTCTGATTCGAGACACCAACTACCCACATCATTGTGGGTAAAATGAGCTCTTCTGTTTATGTAAAGGGAAAACTAGAGAATCTAAAAATATTGTTCCCCATCCTGATAATTTATTCAACAAAGTCGACATTCAACAGCATACATTTTCCCCCCCTCCTGTTTTATAATCATATAGAAGCAAACTGGTTTTGGCTGCGTATTCATTTTAAACAGTGTATATTTTTAACGGATAATTAATTGCTGAAATGTAATAATGTATGATTCATTATTCATCTTCTGGATGAAAATATCCTCATTGCATATTTTTTTGTTTCATAACAAAACATCTCTAGACTGATCTTGCATTCTGGGGGTGGAATAGTTCACCCCTCTGGCAGATCCACGATTTTTTTTTTGCAATTCAGGATCACGATCCGATTAAATCATCTTCACTAACCTGCTTCTCTTCTTTAAAAAACCCAACTCCTCTTCCGAGCCCATCCCACCGGTCCTCCCAATCCCCCGGCGATGACCAGCCCCACCCCAACACCTCCTTAACCGCTCCTGCCTCTTCTCCTGTCACCATAACTGCACCACCACTTTTAATAACATCGCTGTTTATCTCAACCATTATCACGTTAAGTACAATTTTATAATTGCTGTAAGATAAGATAGGAATGTGTTCTCTTTAACATTGCGCCGCAGTGGCGATATGAGCATCAATCGTTGTACATGTGATTGAATTTGTGTATCGTGAGCTTATACATCGATGTTTAATCGATTCACCCTTTTTATTGAGTCTCATGAGCAGACTATGGCCCCACATGAGAGAATAGAGATATTCATCACCATTGAGAAGCCATAATATCCTAGCTAGATTTATATAACACCTTAACCCGAAGGCACTTTACAGCAATTATATGAAAAGGTACATACGATGAGGCTGGTTGAGATAAAGTGTGGGGTTATTAAAAGTGGTGGTGTAGTTATCGCGAAAGTTGGGAGAACAGGCAGGAAGGGGTTGGGGTTTGCCTGGTCTTAAGCTGGGGTTGCGAGGGCAGGGAGTAGCAGTAACATGAGCTCAGGAGGAGACATGGGGGGTTGTTTTAAGGAAGGAGTGGAAGGTGGTTCGTGAAGGTGATTGTTTTATGTGGAGTGGGAGTTTTATCCAGTGAAGGGGAGCTAAACAGGCAAATGAAGGAAAGCGTGATTGGGTACAGTATGAAGGAGGCATAGAGATGGACAGCAGATTTTCGAGTGTAGAGGACGGGATGTTGCAGCAAAGCTTAGCTTGTGCACAGTTTTATAAAAAAAAATATTTGACAAATCACAGCATGACGACTTGAAGCCTGCAGGATGTTTGCAAGCCCGCTGCTGGGTTTGTCTGTGTGTGCTCGCTTGGGGTGCAGGCTGGAGCTTCGGCATGGGCTCCGCTTATCAGTTCCACAGCTGGCGAGTTTTTGTGATCGTGTGTGCGCTCCCAGCAGTCGCCTCCATCGTGTGTCTGACCTTCATGCCCGAGAGCCCACGTCACCTGCTGGAGGTAGAGACACAACGCAAGCCTCACCGATCCTCCCCACGATGCTGATTCTCGCCTCCTCAGCTTACGATTTACTTTTATTTTTAGCCAAAAATTAATCCAGTAATAAAAAGAAAGATTATTATTGTAATAATATATTATACGGAAATTCAATGCCACGTTAGCCTAGTGGCAGAATTCCAGACTTATAGCATTAAATTTAAACAAATGCCTACAGAGTATTAAGAAATATTACCCAGAATATCAGTGAGTTTAAATAAGAGCATTTTTAATCAGCACCCAGCACACGGTGGAAGCCAAGTGAAGATAGCAAACACAACCTGCACAAAACACAGAGAACTCACCACAGAAGGGTTGAGGCTGTTCTCAACCTGATACATCTTTAGACAAATGCTAATCGTGACAGACAGGGCATGGTAGGGCCTTCAATCAGCAGTGGATTGTTTTTTTATTTTATATTGTAACAAGTGAGTCGAGGCTTGCACATGTCCCCACTGCATGCTCAGAGGCAACAAGGGATGGGGGCCACAGCACACAATGAACATTGACCCCACAGAGATGCCACTCAGTGAGCTGTTCTCTCAGATAAAATAAGCAAGCTATATGAAAGCTGAGTACTGTAAAGGTGTAGCCTTACAATTGCTCCACTAGCAGGGAGTTCTATAGAGACCATTTATAGGGTATTTTTGGCCGACTCTTTCATGCTGGCCAGAGATTTTGGGAGAGGCGAGAATAGCTACAATTTCACCCCCCCCCCCAAATTCGACTGGCCGATCAACGAACTGTGGTTGTACCCAGTCAGCTGCTGGGTGGACAGAAGTGGAGGCGTGCAATAAACGGGCCCATTGCTTTAATGGCAATGCTGGAGATTAAATCGAATGGGGAACCTCTGTATTTTAAGTCCAGTGTGTTAACAATTGTACAATAGCAACATCCTTGAGTAACCAAGCAAATGATGTGGTAACCCAACATTTTGCATAAAAGCAGTATTAAAACACACTACAATGCTAATAACCTCAGCAGTATCACAGGCAGTGGTGGATCCAAGGGAAGCGGGGTTAAAAGTGGTAATTTTTAGATACTTACCAGAGCAAATGTGTTGAATTCTTTTTTTTATTCATGTAAGGCCCCTATTTTAAAACGTTTTAATATTCAGGACCCCCTCCACCCCCTTGGGTAGTTTTCTAAACGTGCCCATTGTCACAGGACTACATCCATGGCAGTGAAACCAGCCCTATACCCTTTTCTCCATCTCAATGGGAAAGGGCAATTTAACTCGGGACTGAATACGCTTGTGCTTCTGAACGAAGCAGACATCGCACAGGTGATGAGCTACGATCAGAAACAACAGCAGAGCGGGAACAATATATCTTCACGGGAGGGGTTTGATCACGGGAATGGCGCAATATGGAAGCTGGCTACTCAGCTTGTGAGGCTGCCCCGGGACAAGTGCTGCTCCCGAGTAAAAATGCCAATACGAGGCAAGCCAGCCTCGAGCGATACCGGTCGATAAAGGGAAACAAATGGCCGTGCTCGCTTGGCTATAAGGTGTCCTGTCGACGTAATAAGGGCATCTTCTAGAAATACGTGTGAGCATTGCGCACAATCGTGCGAATTGTGTTGTGTGGTGACGCGCAGATGGGCAAGCACGATGAAGCATGGATGATTCTGAAGCGAGTGCATGACACCAACATGAAGGCACGTGGACATCCGGAGAAAGTGTTCACCGTGAGTTTAAAACTAACAGTATCTATTGCGTTATATCTGGCCTGTTATTTGTTACATGTTGTTTCTCCCTCCCTTTGAAGTTCCCGCTGTGTTCTTGGCTCTTGAAAAACTGTAAGAAATTATGATGAAAAAACTAACAGTATCTGCAGGGTTATCTGAATTAAGGAAGTAGATACCAGGGATATAGAGTTTATTGAAACACATGGCATAGACAGGTACAAAATATAAAACGTTGGTAATAATCATTGTATTCTTTGGGTCTTTGGGTAAAGTCACGTAGATAGAAAAAATAAGAACAATAAAATAATGAAAATGAAAATAAAGTGAATTAAAAATATTCATTTTATTTTAATTTTTCTTTGTTATTCTTATTATTTTTCTATCTACGTGACTTTACCGAAAGACCCAAAGAATATGAATTCCTGCAGTCACGGAAGCTTTAAGTCAAGATTTAATAATCATTGTACTTCACATTGTGTCTACACTGGTTTCAATTCCCATAGATGTGTGTACTTAAATAGTTTTTGCAATAAAATACTTTTGGAAAAAAAAAACTAACAGGATCACAGGCAGATTCACAACACTAAAGGGACGTTTACTAGCGAACGTGTTTGCTATTGCACCTTACCATAAGGCTGATTTCGTCACTCATTGAATCATATGCACAATTATAAAATGGCAATTAAGCGCACAATGAAATGAACACATAAAAAAGTGCCATTTCTGTTTTATATAAAAGCATTAATACGTCTATTATAAGTATGGTATTTTGTGCTAATTATATTATGGAATGTTATGGAATTTTCTGATAGTTTACTTACACTAACAGCCAATGATACAGACCATTCAAACTGTCTACCTACTCAAATATGCAATGGGGCTGGTGCTTATCTTGTTTTTATATCTCCGAGTCAGTATGTACTGATATTCCACAGTCTCTTGACGGGACCAGTCCATCCATTGATCTTTTCTGACTCTGCCCCCAGCAGATGGAAAGGTTGCAATTGAGTTTAAATACACTGATTTTCCTCAACTCCCCTCAAACATACAATGGCATCTTAACTTGAAGGGATGAAATAATACAAAACCAGCCAACTCTTCCTCTGTGTTTGAGTGTATTTTGCTCCTAGGGTGTAGTTATTTCACATGCCAGACAGTGCGGGGAGCGATTGCGCATCCCAGCACACAGCAGGAGCCAACATGAGATGGCAAACACGCCATGGCCTGCAGCACTTGCAAACATTACGTCCACGTTTATTCCATTTTTTAAGGTGGAATTTTACTGGGCTCAATGCATGGTTTAAAATGTAGTTTTTTTTATTCATTACAATTTAGAGAATGCTTTATTTGCACTTTTAGTTGCACTTTATATTGTTTTATCCACAAATTGTATACTGATTGAGAATAGGTTTTTCCCCGTTTTTCTGGCAGCAAAACAGCGGTGTTGAGATGTTAAAACACCAAACTGAAACCTTTTACAAGGGAATCATGTCTGCATTAACCACAATACTTGTGGTCAGAATGCAACAAAAATCATACTCTGATAATAAATGCATTGTCTTTGAAACTGATTGGTCCAACCCGAGAAAGCTTTCTTTTGAGCCTCGTCTCAAACCGGTGTTAGACCAGAGGACACCAAAAGGCGTTCAGCACAAAAAACAACGCACTTCAGAGTAATGCGAGCTCGGGGTGAGCAGCATTCTGACCACAAGTATTGTGGTTAATGCAGACAAGATTCCCTTGTAAAAGTTTTCAGTTTGGTGTTCTAACATCTCAACACCTGTTTTGTTGCCATAAAAAAGGGGAAAACCTATGATCATATTTGGGTACTGGCAAGGGAGGAGGTCCCATGATGCACGCTGATTGTTTCCACTGGGAACACGTCACGAGCTATAGACTCTATTAGGGACTTTTTCAGGGCATTGCAACGCCCCGTGTTGGAGACCAGTCCGTGGAAGCAGATATCACAGATTACTCCCTTCAAGTTAACTCCTATTCTCAGCCGACCTGCTGTCGGGCAATGTTCTTTGCATGGCAGTTGTGCAACAGGTATTGAGAACCCGGTTTCATTACGGGCGGCTGCCCAGATTCCACCCCAGGAAATCAGCAGTGGCAGCTCAGCACTCTGATGTCTGAGCCACCTGGCACCTCAGTTGTAATTTAAATCATATTTTAACTATTCATTAGATAATGCGATGTCAACAGTTGAACTTGCATGGTTTGATGTGTCACGTTAACATACCATGTTAAACAAGTTCATTGTTTGTAAAAAAAATTATCATTCATTTATTTATGGCCTATGAAGGTCACAAACACAACCCCCCCCCCACCTTCCCCTTTCACCTGTGTGGCCCAGAGCAGGTAACCGATCTGGTGATCTAGCCAAGGAAACTGAACACATTTGTCAATAATACCGCCGTAAAATGAAGAAAAAAAAGTGTTATTGACAAATGTGTTGAGTTTGTGTTATTTGTGTGTTGTGCACCAATGCCAACATAGTATCAACAGATAACTTGCTTAGCCTTAAAACATTCACCCATGTTGGAATATAGAAGTTAGGCTGTCAGGAGGCTTGTTGCGTGTACAGCAACAACAGTGCAGCCCGTGACAAGGGTGAGAGTTGCGGAGGAACACACCACTGTAATTTCCCAGTGCCGCAACTCACGTTGAGTGGTGCAACGCAGGCGAATACATTGTTGCCAGCAAGTTGTTCGTTTTTGCAGGAATTGCATAGTTTAATTTCAGCATGAGATCCATGAACTGACATGTGTGTGCATGTGCACATCAGCATAATTATATTATCATGACTTGATAAAACACAGGTGTACATGTGTTGGTGAATGGTTGGTCCTAGCCAGGAGTGGGTTGATGTGCTGGTGTCAGGACCAGATAATCCCCCCCCCTACCCCCTCCCCACGTCCTTCTAACAAATGCTGAATGTGCTGCATTAAGTCTGAGTTGCGAGCATTAGCACTGAAGACTAAAAATCTAAATGCACCTTACTCTGACCGAGCCTCAAGTATTTCCACTGAACTCTTAGAATCCTATGGTAGCACTAGTCCGCATCATTTTGCCTCAGGCTTTAACAGAAGAGCTTTAGAATCCTAAAGGTACCTTTGGTTTTCTGAATCTGTGGCATGAACAGATGATCCTAAGAATCACACAGGTGCCTTCGTCTGGTCGCTGGGCTTTGGGCATTGACAGTGAACCCTAAGGATCCCAAAGTACCTTAGCTTGGCTCTGTGTGCTCATGAAATGGGAAAAAAAACTCAACACCTATTTGTCAATAACACTGTGGCCTTAAAAGGAAAATATATATAATAGGCGACGTTTCTGGAAATGGCCCTTCATAGCGCAAACATAGAAAGGCCAGAGAGAGAGAGAGAGTGGATAGGGGTTAGAGACTGCACTTTACACCATGGGGCCCGATATGGCCTGAAGAGAATCACATTAAAAAAATGTTCTGATTCCTATGTCTTTGTGCACATGCACGATTTGGTGTATATATATATGCGCTCACCTTTTAAGTACAGTTGTGATGCACATGCTTTTGAAGTTGGATAAATTGCACATTTTTGTATACTGTACCTCATTTTAAAATGTATCTAATTTTGTATTTCTTCATATACATTGTAAATATGTCTGCATTGCATATTGCTCTGTTATGTCTGATCGCACTTGTTGTATTGTTGGTAACACTTTACACTTCATGACCTAGATATCCCTTTAAAGAGAGACTTTTAGTTTCCATGGGTTTTAATTTAATAGTTAAAGCCGCTTTAAATATAAAATTAACGAGTATGAACCCAAATGAATTAATCTTGCCAGGTGCTCAAACTTTATTAACATAGATGTTTACCATGAAGTATGCTGCACATTTCATCATTGGCTATGAATGCTCACAACGATGTATCGTGTTCCTAACCATAGGTGACTCAGCTGAAGGTGGTGAAGCAGGTGGACGGCGTGACGGAGTTGAACTCTGACACGGGGACGTGGCACCGCCGCTGGGCCGCCAGAGCCACCTGCGAGGCCTCCAAGGTGTGCAGAACGGTGAAACACAATAACCGTCTCCACCGCCGCCGTTGTCACCGTAACCAATAGATGTGATATTATTGTACCCTCGTCATCATCATGTGAACCTTATGGCGGGACCCCGGAGTCCCGAATAAACGGAAGTCAAAATCGTAATTATATTAACTTGTTCCTGTGATATTCTATGATGAGCAAACACATGCGTGAAGACTGCCTCACAGGGGATAAAAAGTGCTATTTCATACAATATCTCAATTGCATATCGACTGATAAATCAGAAATACTATATATGGTACTGTATATCAATTGAGTGGATCAGTGGCACAGTGATTAACGCCTTACCACGAATAACGTCGGTGATGAATGATATCTGAACCTTGCCCTGCGCCTTTCACCAACCAACTCCGATTGAAGTACTGGTATCCCTCGATTTACAAACGTTCGGTTTATGAAATTTTGCGTTAATGCAATTGACAAATTATGGGCACTGTTTGATTAACGAATCAAATTTCCACGTAAACTAAATTTCACGCGGCACGCGCACCATGAAATCAAACAAGAATCTCCCAGGAGGCTGCTTCATCCATCCACGACAGCGTCACGGTATCCTTAGAGGGTACCAGTAACGCCTCCACATCACCTTTCCAGTCATTCCACCATGCAGATCTTCGGTGATTTCTCTTGAAAAGGTGAATTATTTTTGCTTAAAATTAATTATTCAATCATCTTAGTAATTATGTTATTTATTATTCTTGTTGTATTGTGAAAAGTTATATAGGTGTGTATTTTAGGGTTAGGAGATAGAGATGGAATGACTGTCTGAAACGCATCCCTAATTTTTCGTATTAAATTAATGGGAAAAGCCATTTCCGATTTACGAGGTTTAGTTTTACGAGCGTAAATCGAGTTATATCTGTCTGGTCAACCAACTCCTATGACCGACATGCGTGGCAAGGCCCTTATCTAGCCATAGATGTGAAAAGGAGTCCACACAAGTCATCCTGGTAAGGGAACTTTATTATTCCAGTAACACCAACATGAACGCTTGCTGACGACTGGCGTTTTCTTTCCCGGGGCCCACGTCCCTCTGTCTTCTCACCGCCTTATCTACCCTCTCTGCTCCTCTCCTTTTTCCCATCGATATGTATCTTTTTGGGTGTTTTCCCCCCAATCACCTATCCCTTTTGTCCAGGTGCGGAGCCAGGATTTCAGGCCGGGGTGACATTCAACAAATGTTAATTTCAAGAATGATTAGAGAGTCAGGCTGTTGAACTAGACGTCATCGGTTGGCGACACACTCTGACAATGCAGTTGCACGGAGTCCGTCAGACCGAGTGTCGTACACTTATACGCAGAATGTCACCCCTGTCACCCCCCCTGGCTCTGCTTTTGTCGCGCCTTTCTTACCAGCGCCCTTCTTTAATGATTTATCTGGGCGTGGTCACTTGACCTCTGCATATACCCCGCACGACCTCTACACGTGGACAAATGGTTGTGAATGATTATTAATGGAATTGACGTTGACTTAAGTGTAAGATCCTTATTTGTAAACATACAAAAAAAGCATTAAAGCTGCACACGGGGTAATAAAATTAATAAACTGTCAGACTTACCACTTGCATTTCCTTTACTGAAATTGGCAAATGTGTATAGGCCTCATTTTCATTATGACGTTTGCTTGAAAAAAAAGTTTAGTGTACTGACATAACCGTTGTGTTGGTAATATTCCATCAGTCACCTATTTAAACATGAATTCTATTTACTGAAATGTAAAGCTTTATTTATTTATATCAGTCACTTTATTGTAATCACTCTTATTTGAACTATCAATTTGCAGCAACAGAACATGCCTTTAATTCTAACACTGTAACTTGGTTTCATTAAGCATCATCCTTCAATGTCAAATATCATTAACACTTAATTCCCTCCCAAGCTCCTATATATGCCAGCAGTCTTCACAGTGAATAGGTCTAGAGAGTAAATTTTTACATTCTGCAAATGCATCGAACCTCAGTGGTGTATCTATTTTCTTGCCATTGACTTCCCGTTCCCTCTCTGATCTGGTGAGGCATTTATTAAAGTCAATGATCACAAATACATTAACTTTTTACTGGAAATAGCTTATGTGAACGTCTTGAAATTAGACGTTGACATTGATAGCTGAACAACTCAAAGGTAAAATACCAGGTCGGTTGATTCTTGTCTTTACCAAACCAAACACAAAATGGTTAACACCCACTTGACAATTGTGGAAATGGCTATTTTCCTCTGCAATCAAATGGCTTCCATCAGGAGGAAAATAAATTCTGCTGTGGATTTTTTCACCTCAGGAAGATCTGAAGTGAGAGTGGGGCTTAGGCAGAGCCATCACATAGCCAGAGCTAGGAACAATCCTCAGAATACATAATCTGTTTTACCATATGCAGAAACGTGGCTTCCTGGTTGTGGTGAGTGTCCAACAGAGTTGGCCTGGTGACTGCTCTATCCACGGTGCCATGCAAAAGTGTCAATGAAATGTGGCAGAACTTTCCCCCACATACCTTTTCTTGTCCTTTCCAGCCCCTCTTAGAATGTCATCACAATGCTGCAAATATTTAAAAAGCCATGCACAGAAGGCAGAATGTGGAGGATAATTTTGAAGATTTTATGCTGACAGCACCTTATTCCTTATCAATAAAACGTGTTTTTTTTGGCTATACAGCACTCTGTCACGCTATTATCAAGTTTCCACAGTTGCTCATAGTAAATTAAGTATCAATGACAATTGCTAACAACATCATCGTCATCATCGGCCATTGTCTATCCACTGCTGGATGAAAGTCTCTCCGCGCCATCGCCATCCCTTCGGTTCAGTGCTGCCACAATCCATCTCACTCCTGCACATGAGATAATCTCATTGCTCCATCTTCACGGTGGTTATCCTCTTCTTTGGTTCTTTCGGTAAAGTCACGTAGAATGAGAATAAAATAATAAATTGATAAAATAAAATAACACAATGAAATTCTCACGACGTTTCGGCCACAACACAAGCGGCCTTCATCCTCTTGGACACTTTCTCTCCTTTGGCTGCCATTCCATAACCAGTCTCGTATATTAGCAATCATCCCGTCCGGTGATTTGTTCTGCTCAAGTCCATTTACTTTCTTAATTGTCAATATGACAGCAATGATCTAAATATTTTCCCGAGTTGCCTTAAGGCAGCTGGGTGAATTGCCAGGTTCACTGGTGCGTAGGCACCATCCCAGCTTGGAGGTATAATTGGCCATTAAAATTGAAGCAACGCTGTATTCTTACATCACTAGGTCAGTCTACTCCTATGCAGGTGACCTTGTATGTGATGTCCTGTCACTAAACACAAAAGGTCATCTGCACCTTGGTGACAGTATCTAACCATTTAATCAAGCTGCCATTGTCTTCACAGCAGACAGGAGGGCGCTTCTGCCCAGTGGGAATTGTGTGTGATGGCTGGGTTCTCAGGGGTAATTGGCAGTATTGACGGCTTGCATGTGGCTATCAGGTGGCCTTCAGCGGCCGCTGAGATGTACGTCAACATCAGTCGCAAAGGTTACCATTCTGTGAACGCGCAGCTGGTATGTGATGAACGCTAATGGATCCTATATACCAGGGGTGGACCAACCGCGGCCGCATGTAGCTCCCGGGCAATTCAAGTGCGGATCAATGGAGACCCATCTGACTTTAACATTTCAATATGGCTTTATCTGAAACAAGAAAAATCTGTGTACGTGGGAGCAGCCCCCATGTCACTCTCTCTCTCTCTTGGCAGCAGAGCCAGTCATGGGCAGTTCCATAGGGCTTCTGCAGATCTCTAAATGTAAAACTGCAAAGGTAACCAGTGCAAGCGAGTCAGCCGTTTGACGACCATGTGTGCCTTGTGGCTTTTGGCCGTGTGAAAATGTTGGTCTGGAGCTCGTGGTTGGTCAGGATGTTTGGCCACCTCTGCTATATATGTTTGCGCATGATGAGAGTGAATCAGAGCATGTGATTGTAACCCCCACGCTGGGCTTTGGTGACTGCCGGGTGCGAGGAGATTAACTGCTAGTCGACAGGTGGCATGGGGTGCACCCTTACCTGCTGCTAGCCCCGCTGCTAAGATTAATATCTGGAGATATGCTTTGGGCGCGCACGTCACGCATTTGGTGGCAGTTTTTGGGGATTTGATATATTGTATTATATTGATTTGTTTTCTAATATTTGAGCAGGATCACATTAACATACACGATTTTCCGTTAAATGTTAATTGCGCAGCATGCAGTTTTTGTTACGCTCGAATGTTTTATCTTTACGGGCGAAGCTTTGCAGGCAAAGAGCAATTGGGTTGATTTTCAGCTATTAATAGACTCCGGGCATGATTCATGTTCTCACAGAAAACACTGTTCTGTGTATTTTCTGGATGGGAAAATGGCTACATTGATAGACATACAAGCAATTTGGTTGTGTTTTTTTTACAAACAGTGACAGAAATTGCCTTTCTGCCAAGAGCATGAATTAGGCCCGCTAATGTAGAAAATGCTGCACCAGGGCTCCTTGTTGCTGTCACACAGATTTGGAGGACGTTTCTGGACTGTTTCGCACCACTCTTGAGGAGAGATATGCTGAAGCTGTTGACCATCTGGCTCACACTCTCATTCAGGTAACAACGCCTTGCAAGCTGCATGTCTTTTCGCCCATTAACTTTTGTAAATGTGACTCGAATATTTGGTAAGCACTAATTTGCAGTGCTTTTCAAAGTGGTGTCAGATTAAAATAATGAATATTGCAAGAAGACATCTGCATTTTATACGGTGCTTGGCACATTTTTGCCCCCGCTCCAAATAATGTTTAAAAACGTCCAATTGGGCTATTGTCATCACATAATGAGACTATAAACTATAAAAAAAAAACATTTATTTTACCAGTTAAGGTCTACCGGGCTAGAAAGCTCTTTTTCAGAAGGGACCGAGCTCAATGAAGTGGCTTATCATGTGGAAATGTATAGCAGCCAAATGCTCTTAACGAGAATAAATTTAAATTCAGAACTCTTGCAGAGCAGTGCATACCCTGTGTGTTAGAGAGTTTCCCACGGAAGCTGATTTAAGAGAAATACTTGAATAACTTTATTTTCTCAACGTAATAGGAAGCACACTGTCCACAAATGTCATGTTACAAAGAGATGTATGTTGCATGGCATTCATATCGACATATTTTTCAGTTTTCAGAACTGAAGTTTAACCAATTGAAGTATTAGAACGTATTTCACGCCTTGCTTTGTGTGTGCGAACATTAGTGATCGGGCTGAGACCATCAAATCACAACACTTGAGAATAGCAGTTTAATCCCCAGCGGCTGCCTAGATGTTAACCCTCGATGCATACATTTAGATAATATTGAATTGGTTGATAGTTTAAAATTATCGATAATAAATTTAGCCTAAACAAAGCAACATTCATACTTGTTCATGCATGGTTCTCTGAGATCAGTGATTGATTGCATAATATTGTCTCGTTTCTGCCATAAGCGGGGCTCGTTCTCGCTCCTTGCTTGCACTTGACCTTACAAATGACCCCAGGTGCTCGTGGCAGCCCACTCATTTAACCCCAAAATTGGGTAACTGAACTCCCTTTTTAAACTGAGCATGATTATTTTACCCCCGCGGGCAACACCAGAACCACTTGAGACACCGCAGGGTCAACTCAGAAATGAGACACATTTCTCGTGATGTCACTTGCTTAAGTTTAACCTCCAGGAAATAATGAATGCCAACGAAGGACACCAGAAGGGTATGAAAAATTGGATATTTGCTTCCTAATGCTCTAACCTAGCCCATGTTTTACTAAACCCTGTGAAAAGAAAGTTAAGATTGTGTCCTGACCTCCCGACACAAAGCAGTATCGGTTGGGAGAGGCTGGAATGGAGTTGGAGGGGCTGAGCCCACGGAGCCTGATTACTCGTCTAATTATAATAATCAGAATCTTTATTTATCCTGGGGAAATCCGATGAGCTATGAAGCTCTTTTTCGCAGATGTCCAGTCGGGACAGGTCAGAAAGTTATACAAAAGATAGCAGTGCAAAGTATAGGAAAGGTATGCAAATCACTACAAATAAATAAACTAATGACATTGACTTCGCCAAGACAGAGGTTATTTGCAAGCCATCTGGCTACCATGAGAGATTCGTTCATGAGGCTATCCACATATACAAACACAGAGACAATTTCAACCGAGAAGATGGATTCTGGCTTAGCAATCAATGGAAGGATTTGATAAACCATTTCGGGTCTTAATTGATTGTTCACGCTTACGGTGGCTTTCAGACCGCATCCATTATTTTTCATCTCCCCCCTCCTCTTTTCCGAACATAGATGGACTCGTCCATTTGAACAAACTGTCAAATCGCTCTCCGTGGTGCTAACGTTAAAAATAACCACTTTTTTCAAATTTTATTGCTGTGGTTTTAACACCTGATGATGATTGCTTGTGTTGCAGTCGAAACGTCGTGAGAATTGTATTGTTTTATATTTTTATTATTTTATTGTTTCCCTTCTACGTGACTTTACCGAAAGAACCAAGAATATAAAACGAAACATTTGTTTTTATTTTACTTGGTAAAGCCCATTGAGCTGTTCGTTCTTTTTCAGAAGCTACCTGCCTCAAAAAAATGGCTTACATGTGGAAATTTATAGCAGCCAAATAATCCAAACTCAATTTTATAAAGTGTCTTTCAAATTGGCAATCTAGCATCGGGGACCCATAGGTCGAGCCCTGGTGCTGCTGATAGCATTTGAAGCACAAACATTTTTTCATTGTAAATGTTCTTCTTAATAGTATATTTTTTCTACTTATGCATACTTAAATATACATAATTGTTGGTTGTTTCAGTGACAAGTTAAGAAATACCTGTGTTCTCATTTTGCCTGGGTAAAATATGGGCAAGATCTTTGCCCCCAGTCCTTGCCAGCTGGTTCACAGCTCAATAGATGAAATGAATGGAAACCAGCACAGCCTGGTTCATTTTGGTGATGGAAACAGGGCATTAAGGTTCCAAATGGACTTTCGGAGTGAAAGGAGTCTGGTTCAGTAGGAAGGTACAAGCTTGAATTAAAGCTTTCGTGACTGCAGGAATTCATATTCCTGCAGTCACGAAAGGTTCAAATAAAATAACAAAAACTACGTTTCGATCGCAACACAGGCAATCGTCAGCAGGAGAAAAAATAGCGGGAAAGCTGCTGAGGCAGGCTGTTTTAAAGGTTTGAAATGGGTATAGCCCAAGGGTCATAAACGAAGTGGGCGGGGCTATTTATGTTAATGCGAGAAATTAGCATGTAGCTGTAAGATCGGTGACCTACCTCCACGACGAGGGCATGGAGGTGGCCATTGTATTGTGAGAGATTAGCATGTCAATGTAAGATCGCAGAGCCGCCGCCACATCGAGGAAAACGAGCAACGGTGGCTGTGTTAGTGTGAACCTGTTAATGTAAAACCAGAGAGGCAAAAATAACTACTAACATCGGAAGGTAGGATGGAAACATCACAGCCAGTTATGACTTAAACTGGTTAATAACGTCCTTCCAATGATTGCTCAGTTTGTACCTATCTTCTCGGTTGAAATTGTGTCTGTGTCTATATATATGGATGGCTTCATGAACGAATCTTTGTTGATAGTCAGTGGGCTTGCAAAGTACCTTCGTCGTTAAGAAATCAATTTTGTGTGAGCCCACCGCATTAAAACAATGATCAGCCACGGACGAGGTATTGGTCCTACCGTGTTTCAGATCTGCCTTATGTTCACTAACACGGTCCGAGACATGTCGCTTAGTTTCCCCAATGTAACTGCTGCCGCAGACACAGCTTAGTTTGTAGACACTGAGGTATTGCATGTCACGGATCACATCTTTCACAGATGGGATCAGATCACGAATTTTATGTACTGTACACATCCTTCACAGATGATCCCATCTGTGAAGGATGTGATCCCTGACATGGAATACCCTGGTGTCGATAAATGCAATACCCCGGCGCCTACAAACTAAGCTGTCTGCGGCAGTAGTTACATTGGAGAAACTAAGCGACATGTCTCGGACCGTGTTCGTGAACATAAGGCAGATCTGAAACACAGTAGGACCAATACCTCAGCTGTGGCTGATCAAATTTTGTATGCAGTGGGCTCACACGAAATGTATTACTCTAAGACGAAGGTACTTTGCAAGCCCACTGGCTATCAACAAAGATTCGTTCATGAAGCCATCCATATATAGACACAGACACAATTTTAACTGAGAAGATGGGTACAAACTGAACAATGATTGGAAGGACGTTATTATCCAGTTTAAGTCATAACTGGCTGTGATGTTTCCATCCTACCTTCCGATGTTAGTTATTTTCGACTCTCTGGTTTTACATTAACAGGTTAAATGTCTCACTAACACAGCCACCGTCGCTCGTGTCCTCGAGGTTGCAGTGGCTCTGCGATCTTACATTGACATGCTAATCTCTCACAATACAATGGCCACCTCCACAGCTTCGTCGTCGTGGAGGTATCTCTCCGATCTTACATTGACATGCAAATGTATCACTTTAACATCACTAGCCCCGCCCACTTCGCTTATGACCCTTGGGCTACACCCATTTCAAACCTTTAAAACATCCTGCCTCAGCAGCTTTCCCGCTAATTTTTTTCTCCTGATGATGATTGCTTGTGTTGTAATCGAAACGTAGTTTTTTTGTTATTTTTTAAAATTACTTTCATTGAACCTATCTACATGACTTTACCGAAAGACCCAGGAATAAGGTACAAGCTCATTTAATAAAACAAGATATTTTCGAGTATACTGCACTGATGTATGGGAACTCATGCACAGTTATTCAACACAGTTTTTTTACAGTCAATCAGAGATGAGTGAGATAAAATATAATATTACCATCGTGGAAATCAGGCCGGCAGGGGCCAAGACAGGGGGGGGGCAAGGCAGGGGGGGGCAAGGCGGGGGGGGCAAGGTGGGGGGGGGGCAAGGCGGGGGGGGCAAGGCAGGGGGGGGGCAAGGCAGGGGAGGGGGCCAAGGCGGTGGGGGGGGGGGGGACTTTGGCTAGGAAATGAATATTAGAAGATGCAGTTGTAAAGTTCAGTTCTCTAAACAAGCAACTCTATGCCTACAAATTAAAATGTGAAACTTTGCTTTCGTGGTTGAAAATGTATACAATTAACTGGCTTATAAATAACAAATGCAGTTGTCTATGTGGTTACTATTCCCTTCAGTGCTCTTTTCTAAGTGCCTGTTGTTTCAGAATCTGCACTGCTCTCAGAATGGCTCGCTGTGCCAGCAGCCTCCTCTGTGACCGTGAACAGCAGTGGCATGCCATGTGCATGCAGTCCCATCTCTTTGATCCATGCTTGATGCCACTTTGTCACACAGCTACTACGGGCTGTCGGTGTGGTTCCCAGAGGTGATAAAAGTCCTCCAGGAAAAGGAATACCACCACCACACGAAGGTGCACGTTGGGGAGCGTATCCATGGCTCCACGTTTAACTTCTCCCTCGTCAATCAGATCCACCTCAATGGAGAGTTCATCAATGACAAGTGAGTGTACATCGTATGTATGTATGTATGTTGAACTTCATTCGCACCGTATATAGCCAACTGTGCTCATCGGAGATGCAGGGGGGATGACAACAAACTAAACACAATAAAGCAGTTCTAGAGAAACGAGTTTTCATTCTACAATTAAAAGTGCATAGCTCCAGTGGCCTCCTAATATTGTAAAGAAGAGCATTCCAGACGGTCACAGAAGCTCATCTGAAAGTGCGAGATGCAATGACTGTCTATGTTCAATGGCTAGCCATGTGGGCGGTGAACAGTGGCGGACCGTGTATTTTACAATATAAAGTAACATTGTTGGTATGTCAAGAATGAAGATGTGCACATTAACACACAGCTTCACCCATACCCTCTGTTGTCTTTCTTTAGCCCTCATCACGTGCGGACTACATTTGCTTTGATTTACATTGTTTCGATATTCATCGCAACTTGCAGGAACGCATCCCCAATATAAACTAGGTTATTACTGTATATAGACTAACACAGATGTCGACTATATTCTTTAAATCATGGTCATGACAGGTGTATCACTTGAAACAAACACGACATTTGTTGTCAAGCTTTTTGTTGTTATGAAATGTGTTAGTGGAGGCTTGTTTTATTCAGAACAAATATAATATACTAGCTTTACTACCCGGCTTCGCCTGAGACTTGGATTCTTGTCTTGGATTAATACACGGCCTACGCAGAGGGTGGGGTGGGGGGGGATGCGTGACGTCAGCGGGCACACTGCGTGACGCTGCCACATGCGGGTGACATCACAGATGTGACGTCACCACTCACTTGTGCAATATAATATATCCATTATTGCGCCCCCTCCCCTCCACAAAATACAAAAGTCTATTTTTATACTTTTTACATTGAGTACAGTCTGGAAACTACCCACACGCCAAATTTCAAGTTTGTTGCATGTCGGGAAGTATGCTGAACATTTTGAACAGACACATTCACAAATTTCCCTATTAAATATATAGCTGATGAGACAATACCTAGTTTAAATATAGAGATATTGGAAACATTAAGAAAACTTTGTAACAAAAACAAACATCAGCAAATAATGTTAATTGTAATGTGGTGTGAAAATCTAAAAGTTTAAATTTAACACTGAATGGAACATACAGTTTTAGGCTGAGTTCACCTAAAATATTACAAACCTAAATGAACACGTATAAAATTAACTTAAAAAGTAACACAAAAGTAATTTTCCACACAGAAAGCAAAAGAGTAATCATTGGAAAATATGCAAATTTGGTATATTTGTAAGGAAGCAAATCCTGTATCTTGTCTAATCAGCTTCTAAAACAATCAACATTCATGTTTATCAATCAGTGAAATTATGTGAGATTAACTTTTATTCTGATAAGCAATGTGTGACATCATAATTTTACTTTTATTTGCCAAATCTATTTTTTGGAAACGTGACGGTTTTATAATTTATACACTATCTCAGATTGCAACGCTTCATTTTTGGAATGAGCACCTGCATTAACTGGGGCATCAACCTTTTGTAGCAGGCCTTGTGAGCAAATATTAATTATAATGCTAATGGTGAAAGCTAGAAAAGGCTATATAAATTATAAATATCACTTTGATGACAAAGTCATTTGGATACACTGAAATCGCAATACGGAATGGAAAGCCTAATATGAATTGTTTAGAATTTAAATTCTCACAAAACTCCATTAACTCATCTGCCAGTGCTGGGAAGAAGGAGCAATGCCTCAAGACATGAGAGACTCCAACATCATCACCCGAAATAAAAACAAGGGTGACCGTGGGGACTGCAATAACTACCGCGGCATCTCCCAGCTGAGCATCGTCGGGAAAACCTTTGCCCGTGGGGTCCTCAGCAGGTTACAGATACTAGCCGAGAGGACGTATCCTGAGGCTCAGTGTGGCTTCAGAGCAGGAAGGTCCACAATTGACATGCTCTTCTCCTTGCGTCAGCTACAGGAGAGATGTCGAGAACAGAGAATGCCCCTGTACTTGGCATTCATTGATCTTACAAAAGCCTTTGACCTCATCAGTAGGGGAGGCCTCTTCAAACTCCTCAAAGTGATCGGCTGCCCACCGAAGCTGCTGGCAGTGATCTCCTCTTTCCATGACGACATGCAAGGAACAATACAGCACAGCGGCACCACCTCAGAGGAATGACTGGGAGAAAACTGCCGGTCGACCGACTCAGCTGGCAGCAGGCCGTGAAAACAGGCCTCAGGAGAGGCGAGGAGAAAATCCACACTGCTTGGCAGACCAAGAGGGAGCGACGTAAAGAAAAAGCAATAAATACCTCTGGAGCTGCCACCGCATTCACTTGCAATTGCTGTGGCAAGGATTGTCACTCAAGGATTGGCCTACTAAGTCATTCTAGGCGCTGCGAAACCTACAGCTGACCTCGTAAGGTGCAAAAGAATTGTCTCTCGAGACACACAGGCCTGTGATGGTGAGAATTTAAATTGACGCGAAATACATGTATTTATTACAAAAATTAAAGCACAATGTTAGTCATAACATTGACTTAATGAGGAGTATGTATACATTTATTTAATTTCTCTCACACTTATCCGGAGTGTGGTATCAGCATAACTTCATGACACAAAGTGTCCACGATGATCTGTTGAGGAGCAGCGAAGCCCTTAGCATTTTAGAATGGCCCACGGAAGGTTTTTTTTTTCTTTTCTCCAAGGACTTTCTCGCTCACCCTGCAACTGAGTGTAATGCTTACTTGTCACAGCTGAAATGTTTATTGTAAAAAAAATGAATTTAATGGGATGTGCAGTCGTTGGTGATTGTTGGGCTGAGACCATCGTAAATTCTCCACACTTGAGAATATGGATTTCAACCCAGCATTTTACCGGTGCCAGCTGAGTATCTGGCCACCTCCACAAAGCAGTATTAAGTGCAAAGGCAGCGAGAGGAATTTTAGTAATATATGTTAAATTATATGTATATACAATGAGGGAAAAAGTATTTGATCCCCTGCTGATTTTGTACATTTGCCCACTGACAAATAAATGATCGATCTATAATTTTAATGGTAGGTTTATTTGAACAGTGAGAGACAGAATAACAACAAAAAAATCCAGAAAAACGCATGTCAAAAATGTTATAAATTGATTTGCATTTTAATGAGGGAAATAAGTATTTGACCCCCTCTCAATTAGAAAGATTTTTGGCTCCCAGGTGTCTTTTATACAGGTAACGAGCTGAGATTAGGAGCACACTGTTAAAGGGAGTGCTCCTAATCTCAGCTTGTTAGCTGTATAAAAGACACCTGTCCACAGAAGCAATCAATCAATCAGATTCCAAACTCTCCACCATGGCCAAGACCAAAGAGCTCTCCAAGGATGTCAGGGACAAGATTGTAGACCTACACAAGGCTGGAATGGGCTACAAGACCATTGCCAAGCAGCCTGGTGAGAAGGTGACAACAGTTGGTGCGATTGTTCGCAAATGGAAGAAACACAAAAGAACTGTCAATCTCCCTCGGCCTGGGGCTCTATGCAAGATCTCACCTCGTGGAGTTGCAATGATCATGAGTCAGCTGGGACCATAGTCACCAAGAAAACAATTGGTAACACACTACGCCGTGAAGGACTGAAATCCTGCAGCGTCGCAAGGTCCCCCTACTCAGGAAAGCACATATACATGCCCGTCTGAAGTTTGCCAATGAACATCTGAATGATTCAGAGGACAACTGGGTGAAAGTGTTGTGGTCAGATGAGACCAAATTGGAGCTCTTTGGCATCAACTCAACTCGCCGTGTTTGGAGCAGGAGGAATGCTGCCTATGACCCCAAGAACACCATCCCCACCGTCAAACATGGAGGTGGAAACATTATGCTTTGGGGGTGTTTTTCTGCTAAGGGGACAGGACAACTTCACCGCATCAAAGGGATGATGGACGGGGCCATGTACCGTCAAATCTTGGGTGAGAACCTCCTTCCCTCAGCCAGGGCATTGAAAATGGGTCGTGGATGGGTATTCCAGCATGACAATGACCCAAAACACAGGGCCAAGGCAACAAAGGAGTGGCTCAAGAAGAAGCACATTAAGGTCCTGAAGTCGTCTAGCCAGTCTCTAGACCTTAATCCCATAGAAAATCTGTGGAGGGAGCTGAAGGTTCGAGTTGCCAAACGTCAGCCTCGAAACCTTAATGACTTGGAGAAGATCTGCAAAGAGGAGTGGGACGAAATCCCTCTTGAGATGTGTGCAAACCTGGTGGCCAACTCCAAGAAACGTCTGACCTCTCTGATTGCCAACAAGGGTTTAGCCACCAAGTACTAAGTCATGTTTTGCAGAGGGGTCAAGTACTTATTTCCCTCATTCAAATGCAAATCAATTTATAACATTTTTGACATGCGTTTTTCTGGATTTTTTGTTGTTATTCTGTCTCTCACTGTTCAACTAAACCTACCATTAAAATTATAGACTGATCATTTCTTTGTCAGTGGGCAAACGTACAAAAGCAGCAGGGGATCAACTACTTTTTTCCCTCACTGTAGCTATATATATTCGTGCATACACAAATGTATACAACAGTTTATTTGCATATAATATATCTCCATAATCAAGATATGGAAATTAGATTAATATAATAACTCATTTCCAGGTAGTCATGGGGAAATAAACATTAATTTTTTATGCGCACCCTAATTTACATTTTAATTCATTGAGGCATTCCACATGCATATTAAAATGTAGATGAGAGAGCAGCCAGATAAAGAGCTTTACAGATTATGTGTCTCAAGCTGGACCACACTGAGGACTATGCAGTGTTTGATGGGGGATTTTTGGGGATTTATGAGAGTTGCACATTTTGTTTTACAGTATTTCTATCTAATAATAATGCTCCTCTTGAATTGTATTACATTCCTCCGTGCGTTTCTCTGCATATCTTCATTAGATGCAGTGCTTGAAATGTAAATCATTTGCGACCCTTTTGAGTGAAGGTCTCCCGTGCCGTGTAGGCCACGGGGTTGACTTAAGTGAAGGTAATGGCCCAGAACTGGTTAAGATAGCACTCGCCACTGATGTTAGCTGTGTATAGGAATCAAACTTAGGTTGTCGAATTTATAGCGTGGTGTGCTAACCACTGCGCTAACTCCCTTATATAGATGTTACATCCGTATTAAACTCTATTGTATGCATCAAAGCAAGAATTAAGGACAATTGTTCTCCTTTGAAGTAACTGATTTTTGTCATAGGAATGCAGATTTTCACCATAGGCTCAGGACCGAGAGAGATGATCATTGTCCACTTCTCGCTTGACCATGGAGACAGGCATGAATGTTTTCACAGTGTATTTGTATCAGCATTCCTTATGGATAACATAAGCAACAGCAGTCGGGAGTTGATTCTTGTGGAATACGTTTTGCTATGTATTTTGAACTGCTTTCGCACCGTATGTAGCCAACCGTGCAAATCGGAGGTGTGGGGAAGGACAACAAACTAAACACAAAAAGCAGTTCTAAGGAAATGTTTTCAGTCTCGATTTAAAAGTACATAGTTCTAGTGACTTACTAATATCGGAAGGAAGAGCATTCCTGACGGCGGCAGAAAGCGCGGTGATGCAGTGATTGTGTTTGTTCAATGGCGAGCCGAAAACTTCTGTGAGGACGACCAGAATTCACTTGATGGTTTATGCTTCTTCACGAGATCAGCAAGATATTGTGATCATTTGTGGCAATCACTGTGATGTAATGAGTGCGACCTTAAAATGTATTAGTTCAGCAACAGGAAGCCAATATAGCTCAGTGAGCACTGGACAGACATGGTCAGATCTTGCAGGACCCGTCATGACACGTGCCAAAGAATGTTGTATATGCTGCAGCTTGGTAATATTTTTACCAGACGTCCCGTAGAGTAGTGAGTTTCATTATTCGAGCCTTGTCGATACTATGCTATACGCCACCGTGTTTCCCATGTCATGACTCAATAGTGGCCGAATGTGTCGTAGAGCCCTGATATGACAATTGCAGAACTTGATCATATTTTGAATGTGGTAATCAAACGACATCTTCTAGTCAAGTATGGTGCCGAGGCTCTTTAGATGAGTAGAAAACTCAATCCTGGAGTCCACGGCTGCCACACCTGATCCAATATTTGTTTTCGCCCGAGTGCTAACCAGCAGAATTCCAGATTTGTTTTCGATTAAGCAGCATTTCGTTTCGTGCGAACCACACGAGCAATCTTTCGAGGTTACCAAGGCTCTACCAATGCCGAACTTTGACTTCACTGCGTTGTGCGTCATCAGCATACCGATGGAACTTGATGTCACGCAATGGAATGACATTGGCGATCGGAGAAACGTGTTTTGAAAATTGAAGGGCCTGAGGACGAACCCCAGTGGTACACAAACTAGGCACGGCATGGGCGATGTCCGCGCCCAGCTTGACGAACTGTGATCGACCATAAACTGTGATCGACCACAGCAGTTCTAAATTTAAATGGCAATCATATTATCAGTATTACTCAGGCCCTTTAAGCACATTTCGAAGTTTATTTCAGCAAAAGAAATTAAACAGAACATTATTTTTAATGTAGAGGCAAGGATCTCGAATGCCTCTTCACGGCTGTCCTGTGCTGAGCTTTTACCAGACCAGGTTCACAAAGGATATTAATGGGTTGCATTCAATTACGCCCACATATTAAGAACTTTTTGATTTAACCAGGCGCTTGTATTGTATCCAATATCAAGTTAACATTTCTTAATGTACAACAAAAACTTGAAAATGTCAGGTGGCCATTGTGTCTTTAGACCTTAAGACGTGAGCTGTTGTTGAGGGGGAGGTGGATTTTAGCTGTGGGGTGGGGGGCAGTGGGGGGGGGAGCCCCCTGCTGAATGTTCACCCCCCTTCTTTATTATTATTATTATGATCAAGTCAACAAATATTCGTAAATATATACGAGCCTTTCTTCATCAATTTCAATAAGATTGACCCATCTACGAACTTGTTTAAGGATGGTCAATGATGTTGGATGTAATTACCAGCGAAACGTCGTACGCAAAAAATGTTAAATGTTGTGGATTCACTCTTCAACACACCGGTGGGCTAAAGTAGTGAACTATTTTGTCTTTTGTTAACGTGACACATTTTTTTACTGTTTGACCGTGTCGGGTGGTGGAACGACACATTTATAAATAACGCAATCTAACCCAAAAACCTTTATTATGAATAATATTGGTCGCGAAAGCCTCCGTGTTAAACTGGCACATTGGTTTTCTCTCTTCTTTGGTTCTTTCGGTAAAGTCACCACGTAGAATGAGAATAAAATAATACATTGATAAAATAAAATAACACAATAATATTCTCACGACGTTTCGGCCACAACACAAGGAGGACAGTCTCATCCCTTCACCTGATGAAGGCCGCTGTCCTCCAGACAGTCTCCGCTGTCCTCCAGACAGTCTCGTCCCTTCACCTGATGAAGGCCGCTTGTGTTGTGGCCGAAACGTCGTGCGAATTTTATTGTGTTATTTTATTTTATCAATTTATTATTTTATTCTCATTCTACGTGACTTTACCGAAAGAACCAAAGAAGATGAATCCTTCCAGACAGTCTCCGCTGTCCTCCAGACAGTCTCGTCCCTTCACCTGATGAAGGCCGCTTGTGTTGTGGCCGAAACATCGTGAGAATTTTATTGTGTTATTTTATTTTATCAATTTATTATTTTATTCTCATTCTACGTGACTTTACCGAAAGAACCAAAGAAGATGAATCCTTGCAGTCACGAAAGCTTTAAATTGGTTTTCTCTCATTTTGTCACAAAGTTTGTTCACTGACCGGCGGGTCTTGCTGTTTAGTGGCTTGCCTTTCGTTTTTCATAATATCGATGGTGATTTCATGGATATTTGTTTATTTCTCTCAATCCATCCTATGTCTAACTGAATCTTCAAGCCACGAATCTCTTCACGTTGTGAGTGTGCCTACCCCCAAGTACAAACATGTTTTTTTTGTGAGTATAAAAAGTATAGTATGTCGAAAATAGTAGCTTCTTCAACAAAATATTGAGAAGAATAATGTACAGCCGCTTGTTATTCTACTCCTAGACGATAGCCTCCCCAAGCCATGTCAGTCGTGGGGGTTGTTTGACCGTACTTCACCACGCTGGTCAGTGCGTTGTTAAGTTACTGTTACGTTCTCACTCCGGTTCCATCATCACTGATTCTCTCATCATTAATGACCACTCATTGTTTTGCAAAGGTAAATGGAGGTACTGTATCCTTGTTTTTAATATGCTCATATGTTGCTATGCTTACATTTATTTTTAACCTAATTGGAATCTTCATCACATTTAATACATTTCGCCAAGCTTTCAATAAATCCACAGTTCCGCAAACAGGTGAACAGGATGTGTTTACAGTGTTGTTTGACGTATCACAAGCAACAGCGCGTGGCTTTGTGAATACATGTACTGATACACATTTTCTTTACAGATTCACAAACATAAAGTTGAAGTCTGTGACATTTGAGGATTCGTTGTTTAAGAACTGCACCTTCGAATACATCACCTCAACCAACACTTTTTTCAAGAACTGCACATTTGAAGGCACTAAGTTTTTTGACACAGGTATGTAACAGTGCACCACTCGGCACCATTTTGCGGAGTTTTCCAGTGTCACGAGTTAGGTATTCTAACAATCTGTTATTTGCCAAAGAATTGTGCTGGAACTCCTCTTGTTTTCCTTCCGTTTACCTGGAAATCATGATCAAGGCAGAGTTAATCTAATCTCCTGGACTAAAATTACACTTTACAGAGCTCATTTGTATGAAAAAAAACGAATAATGTCCAATCCATTATTGATTTTCAAAAACAAAACATTGCAACGAATGTTATTACATGTGAATACATTATTTAAGAGTTCTGTAGGCAATGGTTATGAACAAAGATAACAAAGAACAAGAGGAACTTCAACTGGCGACAAACAGTCAGAACTTGCATTCAGATAGTCCACAGCATGAACGGCATGAAAAATGTTTCACCTTTATAAGGGCCTCATAGGCATATGTACTGCCATGGCTACCCGAGAGTAGTCGATGGATGATAGAAAGATAGATGAATGGTGGAATTCCTGAAATTGCATAAAAATACCGAATGGTAATACATGGTTATGCATTGTACCACTTTTTCCGATAGGATTGTGACGAAAGAATGTGTATTAAAAATTATTTTTCTGCATTAATAAAGGAAAGTTGTATTTGTCTGACTGTTCACAGCATGTTAGACTTACCACAGACTGCCTAATCTACAGCATTCAACATTTTACAGGACGTACAATGAAATGTATTTTATATTGATAATTGTTTTTCTCTTTGTGTTATAATTTTAATTGTTACATTGTGGTGAGCACTTTTGGATTTAATTTTATTTTGTTATTTTTTAATAGATACTGTAACTTGCGATTATTTTCCTTGTTTTTTTGTGTGTATGTGTGTTGATTTTTAGTGGGAAGCAGTGGTGTCGCGGTTAGCACACTGCGCTACTAATCCGACGACCCCAGTTCGATTCCCGCTCACGGCTAACACCAGTGACGATTATCTGAACCGGTCTTGGGCCTCATCTAGGTCGACTCAGCCTCAAATTAGTACATGTGTGATGTGTAAACATCGCCGCTAGGGAGACAAAGGCGGCCGGGCGTGGTGCCGGCCACCCACCCCCTTGTGTGCCGTACCGGTCTTCATAGGTGCTACTCACTAACAGCACTTGCCCCCCAACAGTCTGTTAAGGCTACACGGGGGATCTTTTGTCTTTGATTTTTAATGCCATTGTTATTACCCCCTTCCAACCCACCCGCAATGGGCCCTACCAGACCTGTTTGAGTTCAAGTTCATTGGGACGGTGTTCATCAACTCCTCGTTCATAAACAGCAAGAAGGGTTGTCAGATTGACTTCAGCGACGACTTCAGTGCATACTGGGTCTACTTTGTCTCCTTCCTGGGCTCGCTCGCTGTGCTGCCTGGGAACATTGTCTCTGCTCTGCTTATGGACCGCCTTGGCCGCCTAAAGATGATTGGTGAGTGAACGGCCCATTCCGTCACAGGGTATGAGCCGGTTATTAATGTGTCGCATTGAGCACCCCCCACCACCATGCTACCTTTGGCTAGGGGCCATTTTACATTATGAAACATAGTTACGATGATACTATTATATGTGTTATCTTCATCACCTAGTTTACGGGGTTCCATCCCGACCCTGACGCCTATATATTTTGAGTTTGCACGTTCTATCTATATTTGAAGTTTTCGTGACTGCAGGGATCCATGCTCTTTGGTTCTTTCGGTAAAGTTAATTTAATTTATTTTATGCCTACGTGACTTTACCGAAAGAACCAAAGAGTATGTTTGTACGTTCTCTCCAAGGTCACGTGGATTTTTTATCTGAGCTCTCCGGTTTTTCCCTCCACATTTTAATGGCTGCTATAAATTTACACACGATAAGCCACTTCTTTGAGCTATCCTTTGTGGCCAGGTCACTTTAAAAAAATAATCTAATAGCTCAGTGGGCTTCAACTGGTAACATAAAAATAGTTTAGTTTTCGTTTTTCAGTAATTTGCTTACCTTTCCTATACTTTGCACTCATATCGTGTTTTTTATGTTATTGTAAATTTTGATTTAAAGCTTTGGTGACTGCAGGGATTCATATTCTTGGTTCTTTCGGTAAAGTCACGTAGAAGGGAAACAATAAAATAATAAAAATATACAACAATAAAATTCTCACGACGTTTCGACTGCAACACAAGCAATCATCATCAGGTGTGAAAACCACAACAAGAAATTTGAAAAAAGTGGCGGTTTTTTTAACGTTAGCACCACGGAGAGCGATTTGACAGTTTGTTCAGATGGACGAGTCCATCTATGTTCGGAAAAGAGGAGGGGGGAGACGAAAAATAATGGATGCGGTCTGAAAGCTACCTTAAGCGTGATCAATCAATTAAGACCCGAAATGGTTTATCAAATCTTTCCAATAATTGGATGTTATAAGCATGTCATTCATAGATTCAACAGTTATAATACAGTTTTACAATCAAGATATTTAAATGCTAACGTTTATGCAAATCATATGCTAATGTTACAGTATGAGATAATTGAGTAAACAAGACTGTTCAAATGAGATAGAACAAATTATATACAATACAAAGGAGAGTAAAAATGAGAACAAAATTGAATTATTATACAAAAAACGCATGATTCGTGGCAAATCTTCAAATCACTATCAACGTAATTGTTAAATATTAAACAGTGATAAGTTAAAATATGATGTGCAAGGTGCATATGTGTCTATAGAGATGCAAATTTAAGCACTGTTGCTTATTTTTTCAGTAAAGTTAACATGACCCCGCATGCCTTAACCAGAAATTATGCTGCTTAATAACTCCTATTATTGGTCTTTCTTGATTGCATGTTACTTTTAAACAATGCATACAGTAAACAACCACACTTAATTCTGCACAAAATCAAGCCTCATCTCTGACCCCCTTTGCTGGAGTCTTCTTCCCACATCCCTGCTGTGCCAAACTGCTCCTTCGTGGGCATTATGAATATTTTATTAACTGTAAAAAAAATACACGTGCGATCTCCAATTAGTATGGTTAATGAGTCTACTATATGCATATCTCCCCTTGCACTATAGACCTTGCGCCTTTGAAAAACAACCATTTTGGGCTCAATTAATTTGTTTGAAGAAGCCCGTCTTCCTACCGATGTTTTTGTTCTGGAGAAATGGCCAGCTCTTTCTTATGCAATAGCAAGTGGAACTTGCAACTGAATGGGTTGCATCAGGTGAAAGCGTTGGCTTCAGCCACATTTAATAGTGGAATCCACAACATATAAGTGGGCCTGTGTTCAGGCTCAGGTTGGTGTAAGAGATGGGCCACGACAAAAAAAAATATATAGATATCCACCTTCACGGATGTGTACAGCATGGGTTAGCATGTTCACAACGTATCAAATGTTTATGCGCTATTGATATTGGCACCTGACAAGGGCCCTTTGCTGAATTACCAGTGGGAATTTTCCACAAACTTTGCGGCAACTTCATGCAGCCAGGATTTGTGAAAACTGCTTTCACTTCAGTAGGAAGCTTTCCACCAATCTGAACCTGGCTCTGCAGGGTCGTAATGGGTGCACACATCTGGGCTGCAAAACCGACACTCGCACCACAGTCATGTGAATTTACATGTTTGCTGATAATTCACTGTACATGGGGCATGCGATCTATGTTACATCATCATGTAACACAACCCCCATGCCCCAAAATGACGGTGCAACTAAGTTGTTCAAAAGTACAACCTGGCAGCTAACTTATACTTAAACGAAAAATGGATGGTGTTCATTGCTATTCGTTGGGTCTTTCAGTAAAGTCACGTAGATAGGTTCAAATAAAATAACAAAACTATGACGTTTCAATCGCAACACAAGCGGTCGTCATCGTGAACCTATCTACGTGACTTTACCGAGAGACCAAAAGAATATGAATTCCTGCAGTCACGAAAGCTTTAAGTTGGTGTTCATTGCTGTTGATAGTCCTGCACCCGTAGTGTCAATTCCATGTGCCTGTGACAGTGGACAGTCTATCCATAAAACAACCAGTGTTGACTTCCCTGCACGTATGATCTAACTTCTGGTGGTGCTGTTTTGTATCAACCCTGATGATGGGGGGGGGGGGTCTACCGTTAAGAGTATATTGTGAGTATTGTCATCATTATTAAATAAAATGTATTGCAGCAGTGCGTATGTGTACAAAGGTATAAATATCCTGTAATAGCCTGTACAGCCTGAACAGCCTTTTGGGGAAAGTGCTGTTAGTGAGCACCTGTGAAGGCCAGCACGGGACTTAAGGGAGTGGGTGGCCAGCACCATGCCCATCCGCCTTTGTCTCCCAAATGGCGATGTTTACACATTGCACTGGGTACTCATTTGAGGCCGAGTCAACCTAGGGGAGGCCCAGGACCAGTTATGATAATCGTCACTGGTGTTGGCAGTGAGCGGGAATTGAACTCAGGCCGCCAGGTTCTTAGCGCGACCCACTAACCACGACACTACCACTCCCCCTACACACATAGAGATACATGTTTATCATTACTGTAGTTATTTTAAAAATAATATTGAATATCATTGTTATATAACTTAATCAATAACTACTTGATGTCATTCAGTCAAGGCATTATTTATTATTTGATGGACACTTATGTCATTTAATTAATAATTGATATAATTATTTTTGTTACCTTATGCTTTGAACAATCCACACACACAAAAAGCATTGGCACAACCTCAAAACCAAATGCTTGTTTAAGTCACTGTAGAGATTATTGAAACATCGAAGTTTATTAGCAATCAAAAATAAATGTATCAGTCTCAATCGAATAACTGCAGGTGACATCGAAAGAAAAGTACTCATGGCACCACAACTCTAATTATGGTGTTTGTCAAGGAGTTACGATCAAGTTTAATGACCATTAATTTAGCTTGGTATGCAATCTTTGTCCACAATCCTCATACTGGTATCACGTAACACTTTGATATATTTATCACAAAAAACACGGTTGAACGCCTTATTCTTGCAATGCCTATTACCTATGCCCTAAATCCGTACACAAAAATCATATTATCTACATATCCATTCCTCCTATATCATTTGTATTTGCAGATAGTGTGCGAAAATGCCTCCTATTGTGAACGCGTGAGCAGAAAGAATTAGTCACTGTGTGGATTAATGGATTTAATCATAATGGATTGATTATGTTGTTGATAATGATGATGTTGATATACCGTTGCTGTTTGCTGAGTGATCCCATGATCTCTTATCACATGAAGATAAGAGGAATCCTATTATTCGCTTATATCCATAGCGTATGTGTCACTGTAGCTGCCTCCTGCTATCCGTGATTATTCGAGCAACATATTCCTCCTGGCATTCATGTTATCTCTTTGCTGTGAAGTTGACCTCTGAAACACTACATGGAGCGTATTATACACCCGCCACAAGCATTCACCCAGAAGTGGAGGCAATTGCCTTTGTTTATCCATATTTATCTGCGGCCTCACAGGTATGATAAGATGAGTCAATTTCAGAGATAAACATGGATAACAAGATTCACAAATAGCACCCCTATATCGACACCAATAAGAATGAGTCCTGCTGTATTGGCTAGGAAAAAATGTGCATCTTGGACAGACAGTGCACCAGCACTACATTCTGATGAAGTCATTGTGATGGCACGATCACACTCAAAACTATAGCAGGGTGTGAGTTGTTCTGCGTGAGTTTAAACTGTGCGTGAGAATGTGTGAGAATGAGAGTGAGAATGAGCTGTGTGTGAGCTGCGTGAGTGTGTGTGAGGGTGAGCCGTGTGAGAGTGAGACGTGATTATAATACTTGTGTGTTGTAAGGGCCCATTGCCCGAAACGTCAACTATTATTCTGGGTTTTAAATTTAGAGGCCACCCTCAGCAAATGTAGTTCAGCAGCTTCATAGCTTCATGGCCGTGACGAGAGGGACTTCTGCGTTGTATTCAATGGAATCTACGCTGTTCCCTGTACTGCCTCTCAAGGTTGGAAGAGTCGGGGTGAGAGGTGCAGTGGTTGTTTTTTTATGGTTATTATGCTTGCTGTTGTGGTTTTTGTTAGTGGGTGGTATTTTTGTGGTTGCGGCCAATTGATTATCCAGTAGTGATTTGCTACTGTGGTGTAACGGTGTCGCTTATTTTGTGTTTTGGTGGTTGTGAGCATTTTGCCGGCGGGCGTAACTAGGTAAGTTACCGTAACGGCCTCGTGCATTACCGGGTAAGGTGAGCTTTACCCGGTGGAAAAAACTAGGTAAGACCGTAGGCTTCCAATTATTGTAGCGGCCTAGTGCGTGCTCCGTCCACAGCTGCCCTGAGGCAAAGTCGTGCTCTGTCCATTACTGCCCTGAGGCAAAGCCGTGCTCTCTCCGCTGCTGCCCTGAGGGAGAGCCGCGCTCTCTCCACTGCTGCCCGGAGGCAGAACCGCGCTCTCTCCACTGCTGGCCTG